GGGGAGAAAGGATATAGGGGATAGAGGATATAGGAGATAGAGGAAGGGGAGAAGGGATGTATATATAGGAGACAGGGGAAGGCGATATAGGGGAGAGAGGAGAGGGGAGTGAGGTGAGGGGAGGGGAAGCGGAAAGGTAAAGGGAAAAGGCAAGGGATAAGGGAAATGGATAAAGGAAGGGGCAGGACGCGGTCCGGGGCGGTCCGTCCCGCTCCCCCCGGTCTCACCTCCTCCCCCGCTCTGGGACCCGCCACAGCGCCGGGGCCCGCCCGGCGCCGCGCGGCCTCAGCGCCGCCGCCATCTTGGGTGCGGAGAGACCGCCCGGCCGCGTCCGCCGAGTCGCGTCCTACCTCCCTCACTCCTCCCTCCTCCTTCCTCCTATCCTCCTCCGCCTCCACAGCCTCCCAGCCCCGCTCCGCCGGGCCAGGGCAGGGCAGAGCCGAGCCAAGGATAATCGGCCCTGCGGGCAGCGCCGGGGGCCGGTGACAGACCCCCGCCTGCAGCGCGGGCCCCGCGGGAGGACAGCCCCGGTCAGGCCTGGAGGGGGGCGCGGCCCCCCCCCGGTGCTGCTGCTGCGGACGCTCCAAATAATATCTCCCTTTTCTCTCTCTCTTCTCCAAGGAGGTGATGATGGTGTTGGGGAGACTCGTGAAGAAGCCGCCGTCGCCGCCGGGCAGCTGCAGAGGGTTCTGGGGATGGCTGAACGCCGTGTTCAACAAGTAAGAGTGAGTCGCTGGGCAATAATCAATTATCAGGTCCCGCGGGTCCACAGCGCGGTTTGTGGAAGAGAAGAATCAAATCCCTGGGCTGCAGAGAACTTAATGCTCTTCTTTCCCTCCAGATTGCGTGTCGGTGCTTGGCAGGGGGCGTTCCGTACCTGCTTCCCATCCCAAAGCTGTGACCCTCCAGAGGAAGGTCTGTGCTCTGCCCCCTCCATGGAGTGGCCACATGGATTCTGTCCCTAAGTCCTGCTCTTCTTTGACCCCAAAACTCATTTAAACATGTAGCAGAACCAAGCCCCTTTACTTATTCAGAACAGCATCAAACCAGCCCATCACTTACCAAGTGATTCAGCCACAGGAGGGTTTCAGATTTACTTTTGAAAGAGGAAACCCTTCTCTGTGAAACTTTCTCTGCCCGTAACTTTTGCCAGGAGCTAATAGTTTTGCCTTATGTCTTCTGGCTGTGTGGGAAGGGTTGTGTGGTGTAGCTGATTACTGAAACTAAACCAGACGGGAGCCTCTTCCAGGTCTCGGCCTTCATCATTCCTCGCCAGACTAAGAAATGCATCCTTTTCCAGAATGGACCCAAGAAGTTTAACTATTGCTGAAGTGTGATTTTTATGAAATACTGTAACTGTTGAGAAAAAACAGGCTGCCCAAGGCAGTGGTGGAGTCACCATCCCTGGAAGTTTTCAAGAAACGGGTGGATGTGGCACTTGAGGACATGGTTTAGTGGGGAACGTGGCGGTGGTGCTGGGTTGGTGGTTGGACTTAATGATCTTAAAGGCCTTTCCCAGCCTTAACAGCTCCACGATTCTATGAAAAGGATTTAGGAACGACATACTTGTGACAGGTTTCAAGATGTTTCTATATAATCAATGTCTGAGAGAGAAATTAGCAGTTGTAAAGCCTCTGGGAAGAAAAAGGCGGTTTTTTTCTCTCTCCTTACAGACATGGAAAGAAACAATCAGGAAGGTTAAGTCCAGTTGCATTTGCATTCTTTTTTTTTTTACCAAAAGCATCTGCCATTTAAAACAAGTTAAAAAAAAACTCCTGCCAGACTAAGAACCTCACAGTCCAAACGATGACACGTAGACCACGTGCAGTAAATCACACCCTTAGCTTTCTGATATCTTACCACACACATAAGCAGATATTTGCCGTGGAGCTTTTTAATTGCCAAGGGAATAACTTTTCCACCCTGTGGATGCTCTTTGTGTCGTGGCAGGGTGGACTACGAGCGGATCCAAGCCGTGGGCCCCGACCGGGCGGCCTCAGAGTGGCTCCTGCGCTGCGGGGCCTTGGTGCGGTTCCGGGGCTCCCCAAAGTGGCAGCAGGACTACAATGGGCTCCCCACGGGGCCCCTGGGCAAGTACAAGATAGAAGCAATTAATGCCACCGACTCCTGCATCATGTACAGAGGATTTGACTATCTGGGTAATGTGAGATTGTTCTTAATGGTCTTGATTTCAGTTGTGTCAAAGTGTCGATAACTGTGTCATTGTCTCGTTCCTTAGCAAGGTACTGAGAAATCTCTCGTGGGGTTTTTTTCCCTTAAAATGGCTTTATGAGTTCCTAAGGTTTTGCTGGAGGTGTGTGATTGGGAACTTCATCAGCCCTTGCCTGAAATGTCTGTAGCACTAAGGAAGTGCCACGAATTTTGATGAGCTGGAAGCAAAAAGCACTATAAATATTCTTTTTCTTCTACACCAAACCATGATTTTGGTGCCTCTGAAGTCATAATTCTGCTTGTTCTCCAGGTATTTATGACGTCTTCAAAGACAAAAAGCAAACACTTGGTTTCTTAAAAAAGATTAAAAAGGTGTTTCAGGTCTCCTTTAAACAGCAGAAACCAAAATAGGCAACAGTTACTGTTATTATTATTTTTTCATAGCAGGGGACCTTGAATTTCCTGCATTAGCACATTTCTGTGTCAGTCATTGTTTATCACCCAAACTTGTAGGGTTTTTGTGACATGCCCATGCCAAAGCTCTTCAAATCTTACCAAAAGGGTTTTCATTTATTTGAAGTACCACAAGGGGACTTTGGAGATTTATTGTGTGTTATGGCCCCACGTATACAGGAACTTGTTTATACAGGAACTTGTTGCTGGGTGGGTTTGGAGGCAGAACTTAACAACCAGCACAGGATGGTCCTGGCACTCTGAAGCAAATCCTTGTTTTTATCTTTCCAGATGGTCTGGAGCACGTCACGGATATCAGGCTGGAGAAGTGCATGTACATCCAGGACGAGTGTCTGCAGAGGCTCAGCGAGACAAACAACCTGCAGAAGAGTCTCCTCCAGCTGAAGATCATCTCCTGTGGGAATGTCACAGACAAAGGCATCCTTGCCCTTCACAAGCTGACGTACGTGAGCCCCTCACTGCTTCCACAGCCCCCTTGTCCCAGGCTGGTTTGGGATTGTGTTGGGTGGGGGAGCTGGAGTCTGGCTGTTCCAGATGTGTGGGGCTGCTCCCTGTCACAACATCCTCTCATGGAGGTCTCAGAGCAGACCTGAGTCCTTGGGCATGGGATGCACTTGGATACTGCACCTCTGCAGCTAAAAACCTCAAGCACCCACTTCATAAAAAGCTTCTATTATAACCAGTCACCATTTAAAATAATTACAGTAGAATGATCCTTTCTCTAATTTCTTCGCGAGCAGTTAAATAGTAGTTGCTGATTTTCTTTTTAAATATTTACAGGAACCTTGAGTATTTGTATCTGAGTGACCTTCCTGGAATCAGAGAGAAAGAAACCACCTTTCACGCCCTTCAGCAGGCGCTGCCAAAGCTGGAGCTGGAGCTGGACTTGGAATAAACACGACAGCACATGACTGAGATGTGACTTCCTAGTATTTATCATATATTGCATAAATTAACTTGTAGATGCTGCTGTATTTCCAGGTGTGAAAATAAGCCCAGCTCTCCCAGTGCAGCCTCAGAAAGCTGCATGTGACCTTTTCAGAAATTATGCACTGAAGTTTTGTTAAGCTTAAACTAAGTGGTGGATAGCAACAGGGAAGGCAGGTGTCTGTACAGAGTCACGTTTCCTGTGTCCATAGGGAGCTGTTAATACCTCAGTGAGAAGTGTTCAGCTATTTTATTGCACAGAAATAAAGTGGCAGTGACAGTGGGAGTGAAGCCGCAGCGCTGGGCGCGGTCGGTGCCGGGTGTTGGTGCTGTGGGAACAAGGGCTGTTCACTCTCAGAGAATCCCACCCGGTCGGTGGGAGCTGATTTAATAAAAGAGGTCATGGGCCTTTTTTTGTGTTATTCATGCTTTGACTTCTGTTGTGTGGTTGCAATGGAGTCATGTACAGGCAGGCAGGGTCACCTCCTCAGGAACACTGAATGGAGCACGGCTGTCTGTGGCAGAGCAGTGGCTCTTGGATACGCCCTTGTGCACATTTTTGCCATGTGCTGACATGGACTGAATGAGTTCTGGGCAGCTCTGTAGCTGCATCCTCATCACTGCTGATAAACAGAATCACTGCATCAGTAAGGTTGGAAAGGCCTCCAAGACCATGGAGTCCAACCATTCCCCCAGCACTGCCAAGGCCACCACTGACCCATGTCCCCAAGTGTCACATCCACGTGGCTTTTAAATCCCTCCCGGGGATGGGGACTCCACCCCTGCCCTGGGCAGCTGTGCCAGGGCTGGACAACCCTTTCCATGAAGACATTTTCTATAATATCCAACCTGAACCTCCCCTGGCACAGCCTGAGGCCGTTCCCTCTCCTCCTGCCCCTTGTTCCCTGGCAGCAGAGCCCAACACTCCCCCGGCTCCCCCCTCCTGTCAGGGGGTTGCAGAGCCAGAAGGTCCCCCCTGAGCCTCCTTTTCTCCAGGCTGAGCCCCCACAGCTCCCTCAGCTGCTCCTGCTGCTCCAGCCCCTTCCTCAGCATCATTCCCTTCCCTGGACACACTCCAGCCCTTCAATGTCCTTGTGAGGGGCCCAGAACTGCCCCCAGGAATGGAAGTGCCTCAGCTGTGCCAGCACAGGGGGAGGACTCATCCTCAGGGAGAACACAGCATTTTTAGCCAAATTCCTATCTTTGGTGGTAAGGAAGGGCAGGAGGCAGTGACTCCAAGAAAGATCCACAGTGCTGTCTCAGACATGGATCTCCCTGTGTAAGGACACAAAAGGCCAACAGGTACCATCTGAGGACGTGGGATCTGTCCCACTGAAATGGCTTTGACTGTTGTGGAACACAGAATGTACTGGGAAAACAAAACGTTTTTGCTCTTGGTTTCAAGTAAAAAAAATAAATCCAGTAAATTGGAAAAACAAGCTACATTTCTTTTATTCAAAATCAACCCAGTATTACATCCTGAGATTCCACAAACCCGAGTCACTCTTAATACAAACACTAAGGTAGAATCCCTACCTGTGTCTGGCCATTGTTATAAATTAAGTTCATGATTAATTTTGATCAAAACAATTCCTGTAACTACAAGCAAGTGGCTTCACTATTGTCAGAAACAGCAAAGAAGAGCAACCTCAATCAATGGATGAAACACTCAGGAGAAACTCTAAAAATTTAGAGTAAAGAAACAAGAGGTTATGGTTGATCTGTTCTCCTGGGAGCGGTGCCTGTTGAGCCTGTGAAGTCACTACCAGTAGCTTTAATACTCTGTGATCTGTAAGTGCAGTAGTAAGGCAGGTGCATCCCTGGAGCAGGCTGGGAACTACCTGGAGCAGTCAGGCAGCCTCTCATCAGGCTGGACTCACTTTGTACATGTCATAGCATTTAGTAATTTAGTTTTCCACTGTGTATCCTCCCTTTATGAATCCCGAATTTGTCCTTGAACTTTGAACAATCAAGTCTGAATCTGGTCAGATGTTTGGGAAGTGGTAGTTGGATTTCCTTGTTTTGCAGCAGTGCTTCTTGCTGTCCAAAGCTGGGAGAACGTTACTGCTGGTCAGCTGGGGCAGGTGCTGTAACTAAAGGAAAAGTTACACGGAGTGTGTTTGTCTGGAATGAGAATAAAGCACACGTTTCCTTTTTCACATGGAAAAATGTCACTATTCCTACTGTAAACCTGCACTTCTCATACTAAGAGTCATGGTTCTGTGACTGGACTGCAACAACATCAACTCATTAAAGGGATTTCTTCCAGTCATCCAGGGCAAGAAAAATATTCCTGTTATATCCTATGGCATAGAAATGGAAGAGGTGACTCAGTGGGATCCAGGAATTCACAGGCTGTAGCAGTTCTCCATCCCTCACCTCCACCTTCCCTGTCTGTTACCAGCTCAGCCTTACAGCTGCTGTGGGGAATGTGGCTCTTGGGCATAAAAATTGCGGAATGATTCACACTGTGAGGCTGGATCTGGGGACTTGGGATGGAGTCCAGAAAGGCTGAAGCAGCAGGGAATTTGCTTGGCAACTCCAGCTGCAGAAACACCCAGTGTGTGGTGTAACGTGTGGAACTGAGTATGGGATCACGTCCTATCACCAGCTACAAACAGAACTGGGCGTTTTTTCCATCTCCATAATTTGGGATTAAAAAGCACCAAAAAGATCCCAAATTAAACCAGCCACATGAGTGTGTCCAGTTTGTTCAGCTCTCCTGCTACTCTTTGTCAGGAATGCACATTCCTGGATAACTCTGATGGTTCACAGGGCTGTGCTGCTTATCCCCAGTGCCCCATGGAGCTGCACTGCAGTATCCAGTTCATATGGATTTACTCTTTAGCCAGGAGGTTTGTTTTCTCCTCAGGATAAAACTGAGACCAGTCCAACACCCTGAACTGCCAGCCCAGCCCAGCTCCTGGGAGCCAACAAAAGAACCAGCCCCTCCTCAGGCACAGAACATGAAATACTGTGGAAAAGTTACCCCTGGCACGTGCTTCCGGGTCAGCCTAGCTGGTTTCCGAGCTGTTTTTTCCCGTTCTTTCCCCAGATCCAGTGCCTCCCTGAAGCTGTCAAAGTAGGGATGCTGCAGCAGCTGCTCACAGGTTTGCCTCTCCGCAGGGTCCATCCGAAGGCATGCCTAGAAAAGATGAAGGATCACACAAAACACTCATGAGACAGGTCTGCACAATTCCAGGCCCTCCCCACAGCCAACGAGTATTCCCACAGGTACATGTGTTGATAATTTTTTTAATGTGTTATAACAGTGGCTTTTCAGTCAGCAGGAAGCTTGAGGAACAGCTGATACCCAACGACTGCAGCAATTAATCAAGGAATCATGGAATGGTTTGGGTTGGAAAGGACCTCAAAGCCCATCTCATTCTAACCCCCTGCCATGGGCAAGGACAACTTCCACTATCCCAGGTTGCTCCAAGCCCCGTCCAACCTGGCCTTGAGCACTTCTAGGGATGGGGAGTCCACAGCTGTAGTAGGAATTGTGGCTTGAGGAATAGGGCAGGAAACCAGCTCTATTTTTCACTGAATCTCTGATAACTCAGCCCCCAGCTGACACCATTTACTGGTAAGTGACACAGACCCCACTTGCTCATCTCAGTGCAGGGCTGGAGTTTTCTTACCTTCATGAGAGACAGAGCAGAGTATGAAATATTGGGGAATTTCACTTCCAATGGCTCCTGGAGGGAAAAAAACCAGTGAGTGTACTCATATGAGCAACCTGTTCATTTATGAGAGGACAGAGACCCAGCTTCCCATAGCAATGTGACCCGTTCCTCACAAAATGCCTCCCTCACTCTGTGTGCTTGCAGGCCTGGCACTACTGAGGATGCACCACCAGGAATGGGGGGAAGGGGCGGAGATCAATAATTTTTTGACTGTCTTTACACAGTGTAGAAGTTAAAATGTCATGAGACGGGTTCAGCCACCTCCAAGTAATATCTGGTGCACACTGGCAAAGGAAAGGGCAAAGCTTTTGGACTGGGAAAAAAATGCTGCGCAGCAAAGGACTGGTCAAGCTGAGCGAGGCTTTCCCAGCTCCGCTTCCAAAGCAGGCAGCACGTGGGTAAAAAGAAGCAGGAACATTTCCCTGCCCAAACACCCTGTCTCCTTAGCACTGCAGAGTGGATTAGAGTGGAAGAGAGACTGGCTAGCACCAGGCTCAAGGGAATTGCATCTGGAGGCAGCTCTTACCATGCTCTCCGGGTCTGGAATTCTCACCCCGCTGAAGAACTGGTTGGTGCTGAACACTTGCTGGTGCCTGGGAATGAGATCCCCTTCGACCAAGAATAAAGAGAAATTTGGATTAATTTGCTGTTTTTCTAGTACAAGGTTGTATCCTCTAACAAAGCTGATCCCATGCAAGAGAACATCCAAAGAGATGGAATATCACCAAGTGTTCTTCTGTGACAACTAATGTCCATTTGGGCCATCAGTGATCCCACACTGAGTGACTGTGCTGAGGGAAAGGCAGGGCCAGGAGTGTTCCAGCTTCAGGAAAATTTAACTCATACTGGTGAAATTCTCTTTGGACACTCCTGAGGGTGTTGTATGGAAAAGAGCTGAAGTGCAGCTCCACCAGGAGCACGTTGCAGCTTTTCCCCAGGGCAGCTTTTTTGAAGCTTAGAGCAGCTCAGAGCAAGGAAAATGCTAAAATCAAACCCAGAACAAAGAGCCAGTAAAATGCCAACCCCCATAATGGCACAGCTTCCACCAAGGAGCTTTGCTCAGTCCAGCACCTGGATCCAATGGGAATCTCTTCTGGCTGAAACCCTGTCATTAAAAATGAATTATAACTGCCTAACAGTGGCCTTAATGGATTCTGGAGGATGAAGCAATCGGTGTTGAACTATTTTTCTAGCTAAGGAGCTTATCTGTTTAAAGCCATTAGTTTTATAAACTGCTCAGTAAAAATTACAACTCTCAGTTCATTCCAACAAATTTCAATTAAAAGTGGGGGGGTTGTTCGTTGCCAGGCAAGAAATCAGATGTTACACACTCAGATCAAAGAGAATCAATGACACTGGATTAATTTAAGCATTATGGGGATAGTGGGTCTTTTATTTAACAAATAAATCTGGAGTGGCTCCTAAAATTCCTTGATGAATAAAGACAAACGCGTGGAACAGACAGGTTGTGAACATTTTTGTGAGCAAGTGTGAACATTTTCACACTCCCATTCCCAGGCACAGAGACATCCACAGGCACTGGCCACACTTATGAGACCTCCAAAGCTGGGATGAACTTAATCCAACTATTCATTGACCACTTTGCTTGATTTGCTGAAAAATACCTGGATCTTTCAAACCTTTATGCAAAACATTCCTTTCTGATACAGGCACCTCATTTCCCTGTATGGAGACAGGTGAAGATGTGGGAAGCACAGCAGGAGAGGCAGGTGGTGTTCCTGTGCTGTCCCAACCCAAGGGACACCTCAGCAGTCACTGAGCCACCCCAAGGGACCAGGAGGTCTGGTGGTCACCTAACACATCCCACATCTTTCCTAATCTGCCCAGCACCAGACTCAGCTTCCCAGAGGCCACCACTAAAGAGAGTGGAGGGATGGTTCCAGCCAGTCTGCAGGCAATGATCCCGCTTCCACAGCCCCGTACTTTGGGAGCCAGGAAAACCCAGCTCCCTTTTAAGGACAGGAACACCTCAAATAAGCCAACACCTATTACAGGGAGAGATCCACGGGGTAAATTCACCTCTTGGCTACTCCTGATTCCCACAACAGAGGAAAGCTCTAGTCCTGCCAAGGGGGACACTCACCCAGGGTTCTCCGGATGAGGTAGAGCTGGTCCACGTCAGACTTCCCCGGCCAGAGCGGGACCCCCGAGAGCAGCTCGGCGAAGACGCAGCCGATGGCCCAGACGTCCACGGGGGGCCCGTACTGGGTGTCCCCCACCAGCAGCTCCGGGGAGCGGTACCAGCGGGTGGCCACGTAGTCTGTGTAGTAGTCACTGGGACCGGCTGGGTTGGGGTCAGGGAGGAGACAAACAAACAGGAATGTGGGATCAGGGGGATGCAGAGAAGCTGTCACCAGTTGTTGCACATGTTGGGGCACCTCCTGGGCAGGCAGTGGCTGCAGGAACGGGGTGAGTCACTGGCCACAACAGGACCCTACTGTGGAAACACTTTGGATCTGGCAAAAATCAGGACCGTGTTTTTCTCCAAATGAAAATGTGCAGAGCTCACAGCAGGGCCCTGCACCAGCCTGTGGGCAGTTCCCGGAGCCCACGTGATTTGTCAGAACAGGAGCTAAAATAAACCAGATTAGGGGGTTTATTTACAAGGAAAATGTGAAGCCATTGTTTGCAGAGGCAGCCAGAGGGGTCTGGCTGCCAGGGAACTCCAGCTGTGTCTCCAGCATTGCATAAACAACGGCTGGGCAGCTCCAAGATTCCCAAGGCTGACTTCCATGTGCCAGTGCCAGCACCCCAGCAGCTCAGCTGCCCCAGCAGGGAGCTCAGGCTGTTCACAGATCCCTGTCACCATGGTGTCTGGACTCCTTCCTTTAAGGTTGGGGATCTCTACACAGCCTTTAGTAGAGCTTCCCTGGGGAAACACAACAGCCTGTTATACAGGATGCTTTGCAGATGCATCAAGCAAAGACAAGTGAGTGTTTGAAAGGCTGATCCTACACTTCAGTGGAGTTTTCCCGTGTTAACAAATGGTGTGTGTAGCAGCACTCACTCAGTATTCGAGCAAATCCAAAGTCACAGAGTTTGATGACGGAGTGCTTTGTTATCAGGATGTTTTCTGGCTTTACATCTCGGTGGATGCACTGCAAACAGAAGGTTAGAAGCAAGTATTTAAACCTGGCCCTCATACAAAGACCCTCTTAATTCATCCACACACCCTCTGCACATTGTGCCAGGCAATCATTCCTGCTGAAGGAGATGGAAGGATTTCTGAGCAGCAGCTAAATCCATGTCCCATCAGGCAGGACAATTACCTGCCCACAGCCCACCCTTGGGATGAGACTCTCTGCAGGCTCAGCTGCACAGCTCTGTGTCACCTGGACAACACGGAGTCAGCTCCCAGAACCAGCTGGGAAGCTCCTGGCAGATGATCCTGCTGGCAAAGCTCAGCAAGAGCTCGGTCTCACCTGTGCTGATCTCTGCTCAGTGATCTGCTCAGCACAGGTGAGACACATCCAGAGCTCTCTGTCCAGCTCTGGGATCCTCAGCTTCTGCGGATAAATATCTGATGGGAAGAAGTAAAGGAGACCAATCCAGGCTCTCCTTGGTGGTGCCAGTGGCACCAGACAGGCAACAGGCACAAACTGAGCACACAGGAAACTCCACTTAAATCTAAGCAATTTATCTTTTTTAACTGAGAAGGTGGCCTGACACCCAAACAGGTTGTCCAGGGAGTCTGGGAAGCCTCCAGCCTAGGAAATATTCAACCCCTGACTGGAAAAGTTTCTGAGCAGCCTGCTCTAGCTGAGCCAGCCTGAGTGTGAGGGCTGGACAAGATGATTTCCCTTCCAACACTGGCAATTCTGTGATTCTTAGGAGGTGACCTTGACCTTCACAACAACTGAATTTGGGCTTGGCAAAGAATTTCTGCTGATCAAACTAGCAGAGACCTTCATTTCTTTTGCTCTGCTCAACTCACCAGGGTCTCGCTCATGTCATCCCTCCCACACCATCACCTCAGCACAAACACCTCAGACTTTCCTCCTTAAGCTGGTGGTAAATTATTGTGTCTCCTCCTGAGGACTGAAATGCTGCTTATTAAACCCCTGTCATGGAGTTCCAAAAAGGGCAGCTGCATAAAACCTCATTACCTGTGATCTACAGCAGGTCAGGCTGCAGCATCTCATTGTTCCCTCTGCTCTAAAACTCCATTAAATCTTTGAGGGGAACGGAAAAAAGACGCGAACCAACAAATCTTGGAAGCAGGAGAGAGCTGTGGCCAAGCTCCTGTGGCTCAACTGGACATAATTCTCCCAGCAAAGACAAAACACCCATCCCAGGGCCATCTCCTGCCCCACTCATCAATCTCAAACATTGGCAAATGAACAAAAACAAAGACAATTACAGCTAAGTTTGCTTAAAGAACTTCTCCAAAGGGCTCCTTCTCCTTCCCTGTTTCCCAAAGTGTTCCCACTAAAAGGCACACAACTCGTGTCTCCCTCCAGAAAGCAGAGCAGGGGTTGTGAAAGGGGTTTACTGTGTCTGAGTTTTGAAATCTTTTAACTGGTGCCATGATTCAAGGCCTGTGACTGTCAGCAGAAGGACTTTCTGATAAATCAGCAGCAGTTTGCTCAGCTCTCAGCTGAGGAGCTGGGAAGGCAGTTTCCTGGGCATCAGCTGTAATGCACAGCACAGGAACACAGGGATACATTCCTGTTCCACCTGGAAGCTTGTCTAAGGTCATTAGAGCAAATCATTCCTTGACAGCCAACCCAAGGGGCCTGAGTGACAGTAAATGCAGCTGTTGTGGGTACACACTGATATTTCAGATGTGTTTGCTGTTGAAAACAGGAAATTCCATCTGATTGCATTCCATGAAAGCTCTGTAACCAGGAAAGTGCCAACAGAACCCCCCTCTTGCCCCAGGCCATGTCCCAGCAGTTGTTAGTGCTGTTCAGGGCACTCACATTGTGTTTATGGCAGAAGTTCACGGCCTGGAGGGTCTGCCAGGTTATGCTCTTCACCAGGTACTCTGGCACCCTGTTTGAAAAAACACAGTTGTGTTTTGGACAGTAAAAATCACTTCAGCGTTACAGAGAAAAGGAAGGGGAGGCCTTTGAGTGCTGACACTGTACAGGCACCTCTGAGCAAAATCATCAGGGAAATCAGAAAACACTTCCAAATCCAGTCAGTGCAACAAGACACAAGGGTTCATTGCAGTGTGACAGAGTGTCTGGAACCACTGTCACAGCCAGGCCTGCCACTGGTGACCACACAGCAATGTCAGATCCTGTCCCGTGGCTGTGTTCAGCATCCACATTTCCTGGCAATCCCAAAATGCCAGCAGGCATTTCTGCCTCTATAACTGCTCAGGGCTGGAACTGTTGGAGAACCCATGGTATAGATACAGCTGTGCAATGCTGTCATGGCACTGATTGTCCAGGGAGGTGACAAAATAAGGGGAGGAAGCATGTTCCTACAGGAGTATAAAGCTCTGCTTTGGTTTAGATCCCCCCTCTTCACTCCCAAAGCCGGCAAATACCTCCCAGCCCACTCTCCTCTCTTTCAGTTACCGGGCAACAGTTCTTAAACTTCCTTGGCTGCCTCTAAGGATCTTCAACAACCCCAGGAAAGGCAGAGGTGACAACCTTGGCACTTTCAATCTCAAATACCATTTTATTTCACGTGTTCGATGTTGAAAAGTTTCCGATTCATTACAAAGAAAAAAACTAAACCAAAACAACACAAGCCTGGGTTTTTCTCTAAGGCACTTTGTGCTGTCAGTGCTGAGGGTCTCCTGCTGACACTGCTGTGGCAATGCTAGAGGTTCCTTCCAGAAACATCCCAGAATGATGGGAGTGCTCCACTGACAGCCTGACAAGGGGAGGGAGTTGGTCAAATGGCCTGGAAACAGCGTGTGCCCACCCACCTTAACCTGACCACAAAAGACTGGACCCTCTGCAAAGACAGGAAGCAAAGTATGCAGCCTGTGTTACGTGTTCATCCACACGGGAGTCGTTTGGATGAACAGAAAGCAAATGTGAAGTATTTTCTTCAAGGAGGGTTATGCATCCTCTCCTTCAGATTCCAGGTGAACTGGTTCAAACTGGGGTGACAGAGGCTCACCAGCTCACAAAGCCATGTGCTGTCACCATGCTCCATCTCCTCGAGCTCCACATCGGGGAGAAAGGCAGTAACAGGCTCTTGTTTACTCAACCCCCAGTCAGTCTCCCACAGGCAGCTCATTTAGCCCCAGGCCTGTAAAATGATTTATGAACTCCTGCTTAGCATTTCCCCAGCACCAGGTCACCGGGGGTAATTAGGGACAATGTGTGTAGTGGGAGTGTCATTTACACTGTGTGAAAGAACAGACCCCGTGTGGAGCTCACACCTGTGTGAGGAGGGAGTTCACTGGGGCTGTGCAGGGAGGTGCAGGCACAGCTCCTGGGAATTCCTGCCAACTCACACATCCCTCTGAGCATCCAAAAGCCATGTAAATGTGGCACTTGGGGATATGGTTTAGAGTGGTGGGCTTGGCAGTGCTGGATTAGTTGGACTCGATGGTCTTAGAGGCTTTTCCAACCTAAACAATTCCACGAGTCTGTGATTCTGTATCTGGGTGCTCAGTGATGTGCCCCAGTGTGCAGTGATGTGCAGCACAGCTGGGGAGCACTGGAAGGAGGGCTGGGGGCCCCCAGCACACCCCTGCAGCGACACCCCAGCTGCTCCCAAGCCCTCGGGTTTGCTGCTCCCCAGCCAGCCAGAGCTCACCCAAATACCCGGCTCAGCGCTCCCGTCTCCGTGGAGAGCAGCTCTGCACAGGGACACACACGGGCTCACACACCATTCCTGGGGATGTCAGTGCTAAACCACAGTAACAGAGCAAGTGCTGGGCACGGGGCTGAGAAACTTCCCATGTTCCCAGGGGGACATGGGCCACTCACCCCCGGGGGTGCCTGTCCAGCTCGTGGAGAACCGTGTGGTCGCAGTACTCGAACACCAGGTGCAGCTTCCGCTTCCTCCTGAACACCTCCAGCAGGTTCACCAGGTTGGGGTGTTTGAGTTGCTGTAACACACAGGGGGTGGACAGCTCAGTTCCTGCACGGGGTAGAGGTGTGGGGGACAGGGATTTTGCCTGCAGGTCACAGTTCCTTAAGCTGAGCCCTTTATACAAGCACAGCACGATGTGAAGCACCAGCTCAGCTACAGCTCAGCCTGCGTGTCCTTGTTTTAGGAACTGGCCATGGGCAGTAAGTCAGCTTGGCTGCAGCAAGTGCCTCAGATAACCAATTCATCACTGTGCCCACGGCTGTTCTGGCAGTGCCAGTCACTGTGAGGATCAGCCTTTGAGGGCACCACAGTGAAAAGCAGCTCTCCATGGAAATCACACGGGGCAAGAGCCTGCAGCAGGCAAACAAACACACATTTGGCAGAAAGCAAGAGCTTCCCTGAAGCACACGGCCTCAGCTTCACCACGTTTACTGGCACAGTCTGGATGGGTCAACTAGGAGAATTTTTATTCCCGCTTCTTCCACTTCCTCTCAATCCACCTCATGTGTTCATGGAATCCCAGGATGGTCTGGGTTGGAAGGGACCCCAAAGATCATCCACTTCCAGCCCCCTGCCATGGGCAGGGACACCTTCCTCTACACTCAGATTGCTCAACCTCCGTCCAACACCGGCTTCAGGACACTCTCAGGGATGGGGCAGCCCGCTTCTCTGGGCAAACCTGTGCCAGGGCTCCCATCCTCACAGCCAGAAGATTTCTTCCAGTATCGCGAGGACAGAGGGGCGAATTGGCTCCCAATCGCCAGAGGCAGGGTTAGGATGGGATATGGAAGGAATTCTTGCTGTGAGGGTGGTTGAGTGCTCTGGCACAGTTGCCAGAGAAGCTGTGGCTGGCCCTCTGGATTCCCCCCCCTGAAGTTCCAAGGGGCAGGCTGGAGCAGGGCTCGGAGCAACCTGGGATGGGGGAAGGTGTCCCTACAGGAGGGTGGAACTGTATGACCTTTGGGGTCCCTACCAACCCAAACAATTCCAGGATTCTATGGTTTCAAGACTCTGCAAACTGCCCCCACCCTCCCTTGGCTCCTGGCCACAAAACCCCCTTTCTCTACAAGCCATTTGTGCAGAAGAATGATTTATCAGGCCCCACATTTTTTACCAATGAAACACAATCTCGCTGCATCTTTGACAAACAGGAGTTGCCTAAGCCAGTAAATACCTCAAAAAACAAACAAACTGTTACTATTTACAGAGAAAAGGCTGAAAAGACAGCCAAGCATGTCTGCACTTGTTAAAATCAACAGTGCCCCAACACAGATCCTGCCATGCCTGGCTGCAGCGATGCAAGCCTTGGATCCCAGAGGATGATCCAGTTCCCAGCTGGGTCTTCTTCAGCAATGATTGTTTTCCTTTTCAGATCTTAAATACAATTTAAATGTTAATGCATCTCCAGCATTGTTTATTGAAATGAAACAGCACACATCCTGTGTTCGCTTAGGATAGGAGGAAAAGGCTGCTTCTCCCCAAAATCTAACTGAAAAACAAATATCCTGTTTTTCTGAGATGATGGGCTTTCCCGGATGGCAGGTGGACAAATCATGAGCACCCTGGAGAAAGTGGAAAGTGAAAAATTCTTCCCACTTCTCTGAACACACTGAACAGCTGAGGGTGCTGTGTGCCATCACCTGGCAGCAAGTTTATAACAAATAAAAGGAAATATTTTTTTCACACAACACGTTCCTAAAGCCTCAGGAAACTATGGAGACCAAAATGAACACAACAGTTCAAAAAAGAGATGGGACAGACTCCCAGGTCTCTAAGCAAGAAGCAACAGGCACAACCTTTGGCTCCAGGATCCTTGCCCAGAAGCTGGGAGTGTGAAAGGAAACCTTACCCCATCCTCTCCCTCTTCCTCCTGGGTCTCTCCTCGTTTCTGCATGCTTGATAGACCTGGGGTGTCACCCACTGTAGATGTTCCCGTGCTTTTATTTTCACCAGGAAAATACACATAGAGGGTGAAGGAGCGACCCATTTCTGTGTGAGGGTGAGCTCTCACAGAGAGGTCAGGAAAGGATCAGCAAAGACAAGGTGCTGCCACGGCTCACAGGTGCGGCTCTGCCCTCGATTCCTGGCATTCAATCCACAGCTGGATCTTCCTGCACGCCAGGCTCCGACACTGCAGATCCCCCAAGATCAGGGGCTCAGAAAGGGCATTTTAAGGAGGAGCTGGGGCAGATTTATCAACTGGGGAGCTGGGAGAGTTACATTCCATGGCTGTCCCCCTCCTCGTGCTGTTTAGGATCACTTTTTGCCCATGTGTTTTACACCGGCTCCAACAGTCCTGGACCGACTCTCCCAGCCTGGGCTGGGGAGGATCACCTGGCATCGCCATCCCTGGACAAGTGGGCTGGCCATTCCCTGGCACCGGCTTTCTCCCAGATAAGCTGACTCGGGCGCTTCATGGTGCTCCCTCGCACCCGAATCTTTGCTTCCCCCCCTCGCGAGACACCATCACCCTCACAGATGCCCTCATGCCCCCTCTCTTCAGGGTCGCCCTCCCAGCCTGTCCCTTCGTGACGCCCTGTCCCCTCATTGCTGCCCTCACACCCCGTCCCCTCACGACGCCCTGTCCCCTCATCGCTGCCCTCACGCCTTGTTCCTCAGGACGCTCTGTCTCCTCAGAACTCCCCTCAGCCCCGTCCCCTCACGATGGCCGCGTCCCCTCAGCGCTGCCCCCACTCTTTGTACCCTCACGATGCCCTGTCCCTTCATGGCTGCCCTCATAGCCTGTCCCATCATGACAGTTCGTCGCCTCACGGCTCCCCCCCAGTCCCGTCCCCTCATTGCTGCCCTCACAGCCTGTCCCCTCATGACACCCTGTCCCCTCACGGCTGCCCTCACTGACTGTCCCCTCACACCCTGTCCCCTCATGACGCTCTGTCCCCCTCACACTCCATCCCCTCACGGCTCCCCTCCCGCCCCCGTCCCCGGCAGCTCCCTCAGGGCTCCCCGGCTCCCTGCCCCGGTCTCCCTACAGCAGGCACAGCCCATGCCGGGAGCGGGGCTCCAGACCCCCGCAGCCGCCCACCTTGAGCATGCGGATCTCCCTCAGGGCGATCTTCCTGATCACCGGGTCCTCCTCGGACTCCAGGAACTTCTTGATGGCCACGATCTGCCCCGTGTCCTTGTTGCGGCACTTGAAGACGACGCCGTAGGAGCCCTCCCCGACCTTGCCCAGCTTCTCGTAGCGCTCCATGGCGCGGGACGGCCCCGCCGCGCTCCCTCACGGCGCTCAGGCGGCGGAGCCGGGGCGGGCCCGCGCGGGCCGGGGGTGTCTCCCGGCGGCCGAGGGTGGTCTCCCCGGCGGAGACGGCCCTCGGGAACCGCCCCGGGAACACCGGGACGGCCGGGACAGTCCCCGGGAGGGAGAGAGGTGAGGGGTTGCATCCCTATGGCCTCTCCCGGCGCCACACGCTGACCCCTCAGACCCCCCGCCGTGGCCATGGAATCACAGAACCACAGGATGGTTCGGGTTGGAAGGGACCTTAAAGATCATCCAGCCCCAACCCCCCTGACGTGATCGTGTTGTCTTTGCCACGCTCTGCCTTTCCAGAGGGTTTCTGGTTTTGACTCTTTATTTCCCTGCAGGGTTGAAAGTGGGAACACCCTTCCACAGGTCTGGCCGGCCTCGAGCAGCACCTGCACCTCCCTCCTGAAAGGATGAAAACCTCCGGAAAACCTGGAGGTTTCCTGGAACATCTTCCTCCTGCACCATTCCAACATCTTGGGTACCTGTCACCTGATGGATTCCTGCCAGCAACCAGACCCTTTTATAGAGCATTTCCATCTTTTACCTTCCCATTCTCTTTTCTGTTGCGGGTTCCTGTATCCTCAGTCCTCCCCCCCTGAGGAAAGTGGCCTTTTGTGGCAATAACCACTTCCAACATTAGATCTGGAGATCTGTGTGGACACCCTGCCCCATCCTATGCCTCCTCCCTCCCCAGTCCTTTCTTTAAGTGCTTCCCAACTCTGTGCAGGACAAAGATCCACTAATTATTTTTCTTCCCAAGCCACATCCATCAGGGATGTGAAGTCTCCTCACCTCCCAGCCTGCCAAGATTTGCCCACAGAGATAACAATCTTCTGCAGAGGAGGAATGTGGATGTGTATTTATTTACCAGTAACTGGCAGTTCTTTGTGTTGTCCAAAGGCACATTCAGTCCATTACTTACAACCCTCCTCAGCATATCCCTGAAGATCTGGGATACAGGTACACAAGGCAGTCAGCCTCGGCTTTTCCAGCCAGACGGCTCCCCAGTGGATCCATGGTGATCCCAGGTGACTGGGCTGGGAAGAATTTGCCCCTGCTATTCCTATTTCTCATCCCCCTGCTATTCCCAGACCTCCTGCTGACCTGCTGCCCGTGGGAGCTGCCGGGTGGCTCCCGGCAGTCTGGAGGACGGAGAAGAAGAGCGGTGCCAGGCCCTTCCCGCAACGGCCACAAAACCTGGAGACCAGCTGGATTCTCCCCACATCTCTCTGACAAGGTATTGTTCCCAGCAAGTCACCACACCACCCCTCCGTATCAAATAAAGCGGTTTATTTGGCATAGACTGAACTGCAACAGAAATTCCCGTGGAACAAAGCCTGGTTACACAAACTGAACGAGTGCAGTTAAGAGTCTCAGTTACACCTAACGACTAAACAAGATAAAAAAAAAAGCACATTTCAGAGTCTCCCAGTCTTGTCCTTTTCATCCAGAGACACCGTGGCTCACTGATGCATTGTACCTTTCTTCTCTTAAATAGAGACGGCAGCACAATTCCAGGTGTATTTTTCAGTTACAAGGAATTCGGTTAGGAAATCCAAAGAGATTAATCCACAGGCTGCTTGCTCTTCACATAGTGTTTGTACTTCCAAGAGCACTTCCAAGAGCACTGGGAGCCTGTTTTAAGGCTTTCAAGTTGGACACATGACCTCGTGCATCCAGTAACTTTGATAACTGTCGGAAGAGGAACGAGGGGCTGGGCAAGTTTTTGCTTCATAAACCCCAATCCCCCCACACCAGGCTTTCCCAACCCTGGTTGAAATGTCACAAAAACAAAGATACAGACAATAACAGACTAAATTAAACAGTCTAATGCAAATTATACTAATCAGAGTCACCAAGACTGGCCGGGTTGGCTGTGGAGCGCACCAATCCCTTGTGTGGTAAGGAATACAAGTGAGGTTTTACACTAGGAAGATCATGCCAAAAATGCCACTGTCTGTAAAACCAGCATAAAGCATTTCACAACATGCCATTAGAAATGCTTCAACAGCTAAAAAAGATTTGATTAAACAAGGACTTTCCTAAGTTTATTATGATCCAGCAAACCAAAGCCATTTGTGTCATTCAAAGAAAAATACTTTCAGCTCGTTATTTCTGCATGACAGTGTCATGACCTAAGAGTTATTTACTCCAGTTATTCCCCATAAATATTCAAACTTTATTTACAGGTTTCTCTAGTCTTTTAGAGATCTCCTTTAAGTGTTTTCAAAGATGAAGCCAAAATTACCTTCTGCAGTGAATGAGGTAAATTAAAAAAAAATGTTTGCTCTACAATATCTACACCTAGTGCTTCACTTTGTCTTAATTTTTGTTTTAAAGTCTCTGTAGACCAGCAGTTGCACCATTTGAGGTTAATCACCAGTCACTGTTACCTGTGAAGTAATTTCAGTACTAGAGAACTCGACTTCTTTAACAGAATTAAAAATTACATGTCCTGCTTTTAATAGTGCTGATCCAATTCCAGCTGACCACCCTTAAACCACATTTTCCATAATCTGTGGTGTGATTTTAAAGTTTTATCTGTACACTTCCTATTTCTGAAGCTTTGACACAGTGTCAGAACTGAAAAGCTTGACTTGATGTCAAGTCAACAAGAATTAGTTTTGAATGACAGTGGCTAAAATGCTAAATGTGTGCAGGGCTGTTTTCCCTTCCAGACCTGCCAAGCACAAACCTCTTGCTGTCTCTAGCAACAAGAAAACATCACTGAGCCAAGACAATTCCCTCGATGTTAAATTATGGATCACGTAACCTGATGCCAACACAGACAATCCAGCACCAAAGCACTCCAAGCTGTCACACACCTTTACTACTCTGTTAAAACAACCTGTGAATTCCAGCCTGTCCTTCCTAGGGAGCAGATCTCTGGAGCTGAACAGGCAGCAGTTTGCTGCAACATTTCATTAAAAAAACCCCCACAACCTTCAATTTAAATGTTTATCAGCTGCTACTGCACCTGCCCAAGGACTGTGTTCACATCAAAGCCAGCAGGGTAATGTGAGGTAGTAAAACCAGATGCTCTCCTGTAGTCAGTCTATATTTAATGGTACCTCAAGAATTTTAATTAATGAGGAAGACAAAAGGAACCGATGTGACTCTTCAATGGAGGAAGAAAAAGGGAAAGTTAAAAAATGCCGGTGACAAAAGAGGGAAAAAGTGATCAAAGCTCGGATATAGAATACTGGTTCTTAATCATGTTTATTCATACCACCCAGCTGGGGAGATAACCATTCCCAAAGCACTGTCTGGCAGCAGCTGGAATGCTGCACAGCCTCAGTTATCCCTATGGGCTCCCCTCTGGAATAGCATAAATAAACTACACGTCATGGGCAGTCGGATACATGATACTTTCATTCATTAAGGATTATGACCAGGTGCAATTTCCATGTCACCTCACAAGGCTTATCCCTAATTTATGAAAATAAAGCATATATATTTTGTACATTTTTATATATATATAAATATATATATATATATAAAAAATACACACTGCCAGTCAACTTCACACACATGCACACACACATACACACACATGGATATTGTACACACCCACCCAGGAGCAACAAGACTGATATCAATATTCTACTTTGTGTACACACACCCTACGTCTAGGAAGTAAGAAAAATCCCTTTTATGGCAATTCTGCAGGCAGAAAAATCAGTACAAAATACTTTGTTGTACAAAAACTGCATTTTTCTTTTTTTTTTACAAGATCACCCGACATGGTAACACACCCCTCAGTAATGCACTACATCCCTACAAGGAAAAGGAATAATCAAATCTTTATACAATTGTAAAAAAAAAAAAAAAAAAAAAAATGTAAGCTGCTCTGCAACCTTCCTTTGCTAAAAGTTAGAGACATTACCCCATCCTAGCAGCAGATTAATAAATAAGGATTAAATAGTCTATTATACAAAGCCATACCCAATGGCAGATTTCAAACCAAAAAGCTTTGCAGATACTTCCACTTCCTACACAAATCTTTGTTTTATTAAGAATAAGACTCAGTATAAAACAGGGCAACAGCCAGCACTAGATCTATATCTACAGACTAACAGGAAAATCCAAGGGAAGAAAAATATTTAACAGTTTATGGCACCTTTACTGCATAACATGTTTCAAGGCTCTGTTTCCCTACAACTAACGAGTAAAGGGCTCTTTATCTCAGCTTTTATTAAGCAAACTCCATATAACCAACCACACAGTGGCAAGAGACAGAACCAGCTGTTCCCAGCTGCAAAAATGGATTGATTCCCACCCTAAAAACCAGCACAGCTTCGGTGTCAAGGAAAGAAACGGCAAGTTCCAGTTTCCTAACGCTCCTTTGTTCCTCCTGAGGCAAGTTCCCTCCGTTATTTGTGTTGGGTGGGCGTTGTTCAGTAACTGTTTTCGTGTCCAGCCAGGATGTAGAGGTTGCTGTGAGCCTGAGGGTTCTCCGTGGGCCTGCTCTCCAACACAACCACTCTGCAACCAAACACAAACAGCATCCAGGAATTTAGTGGCAAAAGGTAAAGCACGTGGGTGTGAGGAGCGAACTCCCAGGTTTCTACAGCCCGGAGGTTCTCCCAAATATCTTGGGTGTTTCATTCCTTAAAGCAGTTCCCTTGTTTTGCAGCATCACTTCTGATAAAATCCCTACAGTGTTATATATAGTGGAAGGTGTCCCTGCCATGGAACTGGATGATCTTTGAGGTCCCTTCCAACCCAAACCATTCCATGATTCCATCAACTGCGGCCCGAGTATGTTTATCCCTCCCACATCTTGTGATGGGCATCAGCCACTAACCCAAACAATTCTCCTCCATCCTAAATATTTGTCCCTGATGGATTCACAGGGATCACTCAACCCCATCTCTGCCTGTGTCCTGCTGGGTCACATTCCTGTGGGCTGCTCTGGAAAATGAGTCTCCCCCTGTCTTGGCACACACTGACCACTGCCCCATCCCATGCTGGACCTTGACCATCAGCTGATGTGGTTGGGCCTTTGCCCTCCCTTCTCCCTCCCAAATGCCTGCATTTCTCTGCACCAGTTCCTAGGAAAATATCCTGTTGTTTTTAGGATTACACTTCTCTCTACTTTCTCCCTTCCTCAAGAGTTTTCAAATGAAGTCTCCTAACTCCCTCTGTCCCTGATCTGCACCTCTGCACCCGACCAGTTCTAGAGTGATCCAAGGCAGAAAGGTGCTACCACATCCCATTGCTGGAATGGCAGGAAAGAATCCTGCTCCAGCTGAACAGAGATGGAAAATACAAACCAAGGGGTTTGGCAGTTCAAAAGCCAGATGGATCAGGGATTTAAGACCAGGAGGTATTCAAGGCCAGGTTGGATGGGGCTTGGAACAACCTGGTCCAGTGGAAGGTGTCCCTGCCTGTGGCAGGGAGGTGGAACAAGATGAGCTTTAAGGTCCCTTCCATCCCAAACCATTCTGGGATTCTGTGATTGGAACTGATTTCTGGATTCATTCCTATCTACTCCTACATTTAGCACTGAACCCACAAGTGCACGTGTCCAACCCAGAGACTGAGGCAGCTGCTGCTCAGGTTCCAAACCTGGAGGCAGCTGCACCTCTTCCCACCTCTGGAATCAGCTGGATATTATGGATAATGATTGAATTTAGCCCACTGTGATTAAAACCTGTGTGTGTTCTAGTTTGCCCTGCTATTTCGAGATCAGCAGAGATTATTTTTAACTAACTAGCTGCCAAGATAATTCCCAGTTCGCCAGGAAAATCCAAGCCAGAGCAGGCTTCTCCAGGCATCCAAGGGCATCTCTCTTCTCTCCCTGTCACCTGCTGCCTACAGACAGAGCTGTGGTGGGCTGGAAGCCAGTTCCAGCTGGGAACTAGAAAAGCTGGTTTAAATAAAACAAAAGGTTTCTGTTTCTTCGGGGTGATTTACCTGTCTGACCCCAGCAAGCGGAAAACCCTGGTTTCATCGGATATCTCCTGGGTCACCTGGAGAAAAATGGAGATGTTTAGATCTGTTTCAGGGGCAAAATGAAATTTATTGGCCTGGGTCGGAAGGAAAATAAAATTCAAATGCAACTTGGTGCAAACTCCAGGAGAAACAGATAAATTGATCTTGGAGCACCAGCATTGCCAGTAGGGAAGGAGCGAGAGGAGCCAAAGGATCGAGTGGTAAATAAGGAACAGGAATAAATTAAACTTCCTGGAGATACTGGGAGATCACTTACTTCATCTGACTTAAAGCTCTTGCCCTGCATTCCATGTTTCCAGAAGGCCAGCACGCTGTCCTGAAGGCACACTGCAAAGGAAAAACACCCATCACACCCTATTCCCTGGGTCTTTGTACCCCTAATGATCCTGGAGAAAACCCCAGGAAGGGTATAAACACCATTCCAACTACATATTTGAATTACTATATTTACATTAAAATATGACTATTTTTAATATAGAAATATATATTCAAAATGGAATTATTATATTTACTTCAAAATAGATGTATGAAAAATGGGAGGAGTTTTCCATACAGGGACAGAGGGAGCACAGAACTCCCTGCTCTGAGTGATTTTAATTCTATAATTCCAAGAGTTTATCACAGCACAAATACTTGTCTGACAACCACAATTCAAGTTTTTGAAGCAAAGGCTCCTGTCCCCTGATAATTTAAAGACAGCAGCTTGTCCTCTAAGAATTAGACTGAAATATTATGATCCTGACTACTAAAAAATGGCTGTGCTACACTTTAAATAAAATCCCAACTTTCAGAAGACTAACACAGATTTATGTATTACTAAAACACTTTCTCCTTCCCGAATTTTTTTCTCAGTTCCATGGAAATGACCAGAAACCAGCCAGTCTTTCAACACTCACCCCTGTGAGTTCCTCAACCCTGAGAGACCAGACAGAAGCAAATCACTCACCCACTGACTCAATGCAGAAATCAAAGCTCAGCTCAGAGGCCAATTTCTTGCTTGACTTCAGTTTCCCTTGTAAATTCACTATTTTCACAAATTCTCGAGAGAAACAGAAAAATAAGTATTAAAACCCACTGCTGAAAAGGATTCAAGTAAGAGATACTAATTTAATCTTTCAGGCACAAAGAAATACCCCAAGTTAACATCTACAGTATTTGCCTAAAATGAACCCAAGAGCATCTTTCTCTCAAAATAAATATAAAAAACTTTTTTGTGCACTTGGCATGTTTTTAAACTCTACTGACAGAATGATTCACATATGAGGAGAGAAAGTGGAATGACAAGACTCAAAATGAAATCCCACTTATCCAAACTGTAGCTTATTTGGAAATATCACAACACAGATCAGTAATGAAGGGGGAAAAAATGAACTTGTGGGTAGAGTTCAGCTCAACAACTGTGGCAAAACAAGTTTTGCACGAGGTGTAGGAAGTTTTCCAAGGGAATTGTGTTACTCACTGTCCAGGCAGACCAGGACAGTGTCCCTTTCCAGCTGTGTCACGTGAATGGCATCCAACTGCTGATTGCCTGAGGAAAAACAGAGCAGATTATTTTATACACATAAAAGACTGATCTCAGCCTCCTCTCACCAAAGCTACAGCCTCTTCACTGTGCTGTTTGTTACTCTGAATTATTTTTAAGGCTCCAAGATCCCAGAATGTTCTGGAAGAAGGACAAACCCCTCAGTTCAAAGCAGGTATTTAATATAAAAGCACTCCTTTAACTGGATAAAATACGTTTTATGCTACAGTTCAGCACAGCTTCCATCACAGGGAGGCACCATAATGAAAAAAAGGAACCATCAAGGGAATTCTCACTCCTAAAAAAAATGCTCCTTTCCCATAAATCCACATCTGGAAAGATTATTGTGCTGATACCAAGCTAAATTTAATAGGATTTCATAGCATTTTTTTCTGGTTTTTATTAATGAAGCTGCTGGTACAGCTTTAAAGGTAAAAAAGGGTATCCAACAAGGGCAGCTGAGAAAAGCAGATGCAAAATATCAACCAGGTTGTGAAGATAACCCAAATCCTTGCTTATTAAAAGCCATCTGAAGATGGTAAACCTCCCCCAAGGGCTGGAGGATGGACAAGAATTCATTTCTGGATTCTTTACACAGGAAAGGAGGGGAAAGAGCAGGAAGACTGATCCCAGGCAGCAGTGTGGAACCACGAAGGAGAACCCAATCAGCAGGGTCTGGTTAGTGTTTAAAGAGATTTAGAAAACAAAAGGTGTGTCTGAAGTGGAAGTTTTTTAAACAAGGAGTTTATACTGAGGTGGGTGGGTCAGCACAAGAACACAGAGAATCATGGAATTATAGAATTGTTGGGAATGGAAGTGACCTTAAAGCTCATCTCATTCCAACCCCCTGCCATGGGCAGGGACACCTCCCACTAGCCCAGGTTGTTCCAAGTCCCTCCAACCTGGCCTTGGACACTTCCAGGGATCCAGAGGCAGCCACAGCTTCCCTGGGCAACCTGTGCCAGGGCCTCCCCACCCTCCCAGCCAAGAATTCCTTCCCAATATCCCATCTAACCCTGCTCAGTGTCAGTTTGAACCCATTCCCCCCTTGTTCTGTTACTCCAGGCCGTTGTCCAAAGTCCCTCTCCACCTTTCTTGCAGGTTCCCTTCAGGTTCTAAAAACCCTGGGATCTGCTCTGGGTAGAGAAGCTGCCAAGCCCAAAGCTTTTCCAACTGACTCCTGAGGAGTCATATCCAACATCCCCAGAGAATCCAAGGGCTGGGAGATGGCCAGCCAGCCTCACCTGCCCCGATCTCTGTGAACCACGAGGACGCCGAGTTCAGGTTGATTGTCTCAAACTGCACGACCTGGTTTGGCTCCGAGCCCTTGCTGATGGCCACACACACCATGGGGTACTCCTGCTCAGGGATCACCAGCATCTCAAACACATTCAGGGGGCTTGGCAGGGGGAAATCAAAGTGCTGGGGGAAAAATAAACAAAACAAACCATAATCAGGCAGTTGTAAGTTTGATTTTACAGTGAAACAAATCTACAGTAACATGCACAAAGTATAAATACACAGAATTTTTCACTGCATGAACATCAGGCTGGGCAGAGGGGGATGATGTTCTGCTGTTGTGAGTGCTGGGCTTGATCCAGCACTTAAATGACTTTTAAATGACTTACATGACTTCAGTCACAAGGTTTTCTGAGTCAAAACGTGTCAAGTCAGATTTTTCAAGTGCTCACAACCCACAAATGGCACCAGAGCGGGACGTACTTTCCATGACAAACTCTGGAAAGGTTATTTCAACAACTGTATAATTATTAAACTGAACTACAAGTAAATCCTTACCTTTATTAACATGAATTTCTGCATTGGCTCATACCACTGGAGTAGAACAATTCCAGACTGCAACGCACCACAGAGGTACTTATGGCCTGTGTATGGATTTCGTACTGCAAAAAATAAAACAAACAAAAAACCCCCCTGAAAACAGTAATTTTAAAGTCCTGGAAGTTCAATGCATAGTCAGAAAAAAATTCTCTACAGGTCTCTTTGAAAATAAGTTTAGAAATAGTGTTATAAAAACATATCAAAGAATGATTAGGGTCGGAAGGGACCCTTAAAGATCATCTCATTCCATCAGTTTCCCACTAGTTGCCATTCCAATATCCACAGTGGTTAATATTGTGCTACACTCCAGATAAATTCCACTGTGATTAATAACCAGCAGCATCCTCAGAGTCCCAGCTCAGAGCCCACACACTGAGTGGGCAGAAAAGCTGTGACTCCTCTCCGTGGGGCTGGGTGAGCTGGGGCAGGCTGGGATTGAAATAAAACAATTCCGAGGCAGAAAAGATGGGAAGCTCATAACTCCTGGGGGGCTCTGACTGGTTTGGGGGAGTTTTTTTAAGCTCAGCTGGATACAGGACAAGGGGGACTTGAGGAATCACTTGTAAATGTGGCTGTTGTGGACACTTTAATGAGCTAAACAGGATCTCCAAGTGGCAAAGAAGTACCTGATATGAATTTTTAAGGGTGTGAAGGTACAACTGGAAGATGTGGCATTTGGACACATGGGTCAGTGGTGGGCTGGGCAGTGCTGAGGGAATGGTTGGGCCTGGTGATCTTAAGGGCCTTTTCCAAACTAAGTTAATCTAAAATTGTATATAAGACCTGGCCTTGAACACTTCCAGGGATCCAGGGGCAGCCACAACTCCTCTGGGCAACCTGTGCCAGGGCCTCCCCACCCTCACACCCAAAATTTCCTTCCCAAAATCCCATCTAACCCTGCCCTCTGGCAGTAGGAAGCCATTCCCCCTTGTCCTGTCACTCAGTGCCCTTGTCCCAAGTCCCTTTCCAGCTCTCCTGGAGCCCCTTTAGGCCCTGGAAGGGGCTCTGAGGTCTCTGTGGATCCTTCTCTTCTCCAGGCTGAACAATCCCCAACTCAGCCTTTTTTCTGAACAAAGAACTAAGTTTATTATTCAGACATGCCATGGGCAGGAAAATAAAGAGCAAAGCTGAACATCTGCTCACCTATACAGCATTTGTGGCATCCTTTTGTGTCAGGGATCTTGGTCGTTAAGGCAAATTTCCTGGAATAATAATCACCAAAAAATTCATCAGCAAGAGATGTCAAGGCCCTTCATGCACCAAACTCAAAAGCACCAACAGCATTTATGGTTATTTTCACTTATTAATAACTGTCTATAAGTGAGAGGTTTGTACCTTGGTAATATTTTGTCAGGAAATCTGTGGGTTTGAATATGAGCAGCTAATCCTGTTTTTTTGGCTTGTTCAAACAAAGCTATTAAATTATGGGAGTAGAGTTGGAACGTTTTCCCTGGAAGAGAGAAAAGCACAGTTGACACCAACAGCCACCCCTCCAGGGGAGAACTGCACCATTTAGGAAAATGTAGGTAGGGAAAATTACCTTCTGGAAACATGGAGCATGAGCAGCAGGGAGGCCAAGTCCAAGTATGAAGAAAATAAAAGAAGGTAACAATAATAGTGAATAGAGAATGAATATTGAACTTAGAGCTCATTTCAGTTATGTAAACATTTTTAGAAGGCTGTAATTATACAACAATTGATATCAGGATATTTTCTTTACCTATAAATCAATAGAAATGTTGTTACACAAACCCTGCATGTTTAAAGGCACAGTCCTATAATCAGTCTCCATTCCACAGTGCCTGTTTCCTATTTGGAATATCCTATTCCAGGACAACTGATTGTCCAAGAATCAGTATTTCCAAGCAGCAACATTGCTGGATCAACAGTGCTTCACAGTCACTTCACCTCCTTCAAATTTACACAGATTTTGCTTTAGAATCCCAGGATGGTTTGGTTTGGAAGGGACATTAAAGATCATCCAGTCCCAACTCTCTGCCATGGGCAGGGACACCTTCCACTATCCCAGGTTGCTCCAACCTGGCCTTGGACACTTCCAGGGATCCAGGGGCAGCCACAGCTTCTCTGGGCAACCTGTGCCAGGGCCTCCCCACTCTCACAGCCAAGAATTCCTTCCAATATTCCACCTAACCCTTCCCTCTGGCAGTGGGAAGCCATTCCCTGTGTCCTGTCCCTCCATCCCTTGTCCCAAGTCTCTCTCCAGCTCTCCTGGAGCCCCTTTAGGCTCTGGAAGGGGCTCTCAGGTCTCCCTGGAGCCTTCTCTTCTCCAGGCTGATCAAACAACATTGTAATGAATCATTTATTTATTTATAATTCCCCTTTATTTATAATTCTAACAATTTCCCCTCTCTTTATACCTACCTGACAAGGACATCAAGGTGTTGTTGATAACATACAGCCAGGTGCATTTTCGGGGAAATAACTGATAAAAGAAAACATTTCCATTAATAGAAACACACAGGAATTTCCAACCATCATTTCTCTGCCTGCTCCACCTCCACCACCATTCCTGCAGGGATCCACACTGGAGAAAGTCCCAGCTTCCCTTTAATTGCCTGGTTTGGACCCTCTGTGTTTTTTTGGGATGTACCTGCCTGGCTATCTGTGTTAAGAGGCTGCTCTGTGCACAGACAGACTGTGGAAGATTGGGACTAAATTTTGTCCCAGTGGGAAGAAGTTACTCACAGGGCAGCTGCTCTGGATTTGAGGAGATTTTAAAGTTAAGAACGAACTCCTGAAAAGGGAATTGTGATAAAAGTGATGGCAAACAATGGCCTTCAGGAGTCCCACAAAAGAAGGGATGAGGATGACAGGAGAAGGGCAGAGGTTTTGTTGTAGAAATTTCTGATAAGAAAAAAAAAAGGACTTCAAATGATTAAGCTGTTTTGAAAAGAAAAAAGCCCCTTCCAGGGCCTAAAGGGGCTCCAGGAGAGCTGGAGAGGGACTTGGGACAAGGGATGGAGGGACAGGACAACCAGGAATGGCTTCCTACTGTCAGAGAGCAGGAATAGATGGGATATTGGGAAAGAATTTTTGGCTGTGAGGGCAGTGAGGCCCTGGCCCAGGTTGCCCAGAGAAGCTGTGGCTGCCCCTGGATCCCTGGACAATGTCCAATTCTGGCCAGGCTGGATGGGGCTTGGAGCAACCTGGGCTGGTGGGAGGTGTCCCTGCCCATGGCAGGAGGTGGAATGAGATGATCTTCCAAATCCTTTCCAACCCAAACCATTCCATGATTCTGTGATATGATTCCATAACACAGGCTTTGTCCTCTGTGCCACTTCCACAAGCAAAATAAGAAAATATGTGGTAGAAGAATCTCAGAAAGAAAAGGTACAACTGGCTGGACATAAAGTATCTCTCAGCAATTTGCTATTTAATAGAATAGGTCTGGGTCTATTCAGTATTTTCACTGAAAAACTACAAATGGAATAAAAATATACTTCTGGAATTGGGAGATATTAACCTTGGAGAGACAGCCAAGCACTTTGGAGGATACAATTACAATTAGAAGTTGAACAAGCAGTTCAAAATGTTCATTTGGAGGGGAGAAAACGAAATGAATAAATGAAAATGTGGAAACAAGTGGTGTGGCAGAAGCCTCTGGGGTCTGAGGTGGGTCACACCTGAGCTCTGCCAGCTGGGAATGCTCTCATGGAAAAGGAAACTTTCATTTTGGGATGCACTGAATGGTCTCCCTCCCCACCACTGGCACAGCCAAAACCTTTCAAGGTGATATAAAAAAGCATGTGGAAGAGCCCAGAGAAGACTGTTAGGTGAAATAAATTAGGAAAGCATATATGGAAAGAGATTCCAAGAACATCCTGCTACTCCTGACCCTAAAGAAGCAAATTTAACCCAATGAATAGATGAAGTGGCTTTGGAAAGGGTCAGAGAGCCCAGGAGAAGTTTACTAGGGATAACAACAGCAGCTGAAGTGAATGGGTGAGGGCTTTGGTTGCATCCAGAGGAGCTGCAATGTGCCATCTAGTGGGGATGGGGTGGAGGGAGAAAGGGCAGGGAATCAGTTCTCCAAGGAGAAGGAAGATCTGGCAGCAACAATAAATTCAGGTAGGTCGAGGAACTATTAATTTTCAGACTTCCCTTGCTGGCTTTGATGTGAATCAGTTTAATCCACAGAGTCTTTTCCTTCCAATGCCAAACTTCATTGCTCCATAATATCCCCAAATCTATTCTGTGTGTTCAATCCCCCAAAACTCACCTGTTCCATTGTTGCCTCGTGAAGTTCATTCAAATTCAAAGTATAGATCCCTTCTTCTGTGCCAAAGATGATGTACTGGTCTGAAAAACAGAGAGAAGTGGATTATTTCCTAAGCTCATCACCAGGTTTAAAAGACAAACCTAAAGTAACTTTACAAATTGATTATTTCCCAAGCTTTGGCAACACAACAGGCAGGTTTCGAACACAATCCTAAATAACTTCACCTTTAGTATCTGGATGTATCCACGATGTTGCACAGTTGATCTTCAAAGGACAACCATCAAAGACTTTGGAAAAACATGCTCCCATCTGAAAGACACCAAAACTGAAACCTGAAACGAATTTAGAGTATAAGGAGTTTATTTTCTGGCACCTGGCCACTCACACACACCTGCAGACACCACTGCTCTCCCTTGCCACACACAGACTTCCCCTAAAATGCCTGGATGCAAAACACTGGGACCTTCCCCAAAAGCTACAGCCTTCCAAAGCTTTTTGTAGACTTCAAATGCATTAAGAAATGTAAAAAAGGGGTCGAAATTATATCAACAACTTCAAGTACCTATTGGGTAAGAACAATATACCCTGGAGGGATTGGAAAGCCGTGTGGATGTGGCACTTGGGGACGTGGGTTAGTGGTGGCCTTGGCAGTGCTGGGAATAGTTGGATTCAATCTTAAAGGGCTTTTCCAACCTAAATTATTCTATAATTGTACTTATGAATATTAAATGTTTAAATAAATGGCACAGTGAAGGGAAAACAAGCAGGAATTGAAGCAGTGATGCCCTCCCATCACTACCACCTTTTCCCATTTCTCTTCCTAAGCAGAGATCACGACTCAGGGAGCCAGGGAAGCCTCCAACCCTCCACGTCCAGGCTGAATAGTGACAGGAAGGTTTTAAAAAGAGGGAACAAATATTGTGTGCTCAGCACAGGAGAAATAACGGGCTGTGAGGTGCAGAAAATCCCCCCAGATGAGCTGGTGCCTTATTCCAGTAAAAACCTTCTGACACTGGAGAGGGAAGGCTCTGATAACTCCCAGTGCAAACGGGATTTCTTACCAGCACCTTCGGAGTCGGAGGCAAACCATTGATGGCTGGTTTCTGTGGGAAGAAACAAAGATCATAAAACACCTCCCACACACTGACACAAACCCAGCCTGTTGACACAGCCAGATCAGCCCCAGAGCCACAATACCTACAGGGAAATCTCTTTTCTCCTTTTTCCGTGGGAGCTGAGGGATTTGTCCGGACCCTTCCACGTTTTCCTCGATGAGTTTCAGCATCCCATTCCCATTGCCTGCAGAGAAGCCCAGACACCTTTTGTAGCTTATCTGACCCAGTGGAACAGAAAATCTCTTCTCCCCTGTGCCCAGCAGGAGTGGAGAAGTGAGCTCTGACACTTCCATATCCACATCCCAGGTAGCTGAAACCTTCCCAGGACAACTGGCTGCTCTTGTCTGTGCTAAGTTACACACTTTCCATTATCCAAACAGTCCCTGGGCCAAATTCCACTGAGAATAAAGCTGTGGCATTCATTGTTTTTCTCCTGTTCCTGCAGGCCACACATTAATGGGATTGGCTGGCTCAGTGTCCTTGTTTTGGGAAGAACATTCCCACCATGTGTCACGGCTCTAATAAGAACCAGCACACAGGGAAAAAGGAAAGCTGCCCCTCATGATCAGTTGTGTTAAAAAATTATCTCTGAAAACAGTTGGCTCTGGAAGCAATTCCTTCTCCAGGATGCCAGTCACCTTCAGGAAAGGTCAGGCATTTACCCAGGTCGCTGTATCTGGCTGTGAGCAATCCAGGGCTGCTGATGCTGCTGGTCATTCCAATGGGGCTGGAATCAGCCTGAGGCCCACAAACTGGGATACTCTGTCTCCTGTGGGCTGGTGGGGCTCTGTTCTGTGAGTCTGGGAAATGTTTTATTGTCTGGCATCTCTCATCATCTGGGAGGTTTTCCTCGGGATAACTGTTTATTCTCGGCTGCAAGAAACCAGAGGTGATGGTTACTTGGGAAATACAAGGAATTGGGAATGGCACCTGGGAAGCACAAACTTCAGACAAGTTTCATTCAAGTCAGACTTTCTACATTAAAAAAAAATATCAGCCTTTGAAAAGTGCATCACAAAAGCTCTCTGGTGTCCAGTGACAGGACCCAGGGAAGGGCAGGAGCTGTGCCAGGGCAGGTTTAGGTTGGATCTCAGGAAAAGGTTCTTCCCCCAGAGGGTGGTTGGCACTGACCAGGCTCCCCAGGGCAGTGGGCACGGCCCCAAGGCTGCCAGAGCTCCAGGAGGGTTTGGACAACGCTCTGAGGGACAGGGTGGGATTGTTGGGGTGTCCTGTGCAGGGCCAGGAGTGGGACTGGGTGATCCTTGGGGGTCCCTTCCAACTCGGCACATTCTATGATTCTATAAAATAAAGAAAACTGACAGCAGAATAATTTCAGAGGTGTTCCTCCCCGATGGAAAATCAGAGGCAGAATGCAGAACAGGAGGCCATCCCAGGCTGCCCAAGTTTTAGGGTTTGCTGCTTAAACCCCTTAAATCCCACATCTCTCACCTTGGGAGGCAGCGGAGGTGGCCCCGCTCGCTTTAGGGTCGACCTGCAATGGAAAGGGCAGTTGTTGGCTCAGTTAAACCAAAACCAGAATGAAAACCAGAACTACTTGACAAGACAGACTGGAAATAAGATCAACTAGAGGCAAAGAAGAGGCAGATCAGAGCTTTGCACACACGGGGTTAAACTGGAAGTCCAAGAGCAGGGGAAAAGCACATTAATCTCGTTAGAAGTGTTGGTTTGGGATATGCTCATGTTCTTTCATAAATGTCAATGTTACTTGTTACAGAGCATTCTGTGGGGAAGGAGATTTGGAGTTAGTAAATAAATATACATTCAGAAACTGGATCTCAGGCTAGAGAGGAACTCTGGACAAGGGATGGAGGGACAGGACAAGGGGGAATGGATTCCCACTGACAGAGGGAAGGGGTAGTGGGATATTGGGAAAGAATTTTTGGCTGTGAGGGTGGTGAGGCCCTGGCACAGGTTGCCCAAAGAAGCTGTGGCTGCCTCTGGATCCCTGGAAGTGTCCAAGGCCAGGCTGGATGGGGCTTGGAGCAACCTGGGCTGGTGGAAGGTGTCCCTGCCCATGGCAGGGGGTGGCACTGGATGAGCTTCAAGATCCCTTCCAATCCAAACCATTCTGGAATGCTGGGATTGCAGCTTGCAGCCTTCACTCTGAATCAAACATTTGGGCACCAGAGGAGCTGCACCAGAGGAGCTGCACCAGAGCTCTACAGGATTATCTGCACATCCTGTCCCAGCCAGGCCTGGCTCATGGCTGATGGATTAATCAACATAAAATCTGCTTTAGAGTATCAGGCACTTCCATATGGACTCTGAGATAAATTCAGGAAGGAGAGCAAGGAGGGAAAGCGTGGCTTTGGACGTTCCCCTGAGGATCAGGGAAGGAGTGAAGCTTGGAGAGCAGCCAGCCCTCAGTTAATGGTGAGTGGCAAAGCTGCTGCAGCAGTTTGAGGGGAGAGGTTTTGGAGCAAACACAACTGTGCAGGAAGGAGATCCACTCACTCTTCAACATCTTCACTCCCATCGCCAAATTTTGTGAGCAGTCCCCTAAGGTAAAATATTTATACAATTAAGAGCTCTGCTCTAAGGTGCAACTAAACCCATCCCTGATGGCACTGAGTTTCACAACAGCCTTTTCCAAAACAAACATTTCTGTTATTCAGACCTTTTTCCACTCAGTTTGGTCCTTTCCTTCCCCTTACCCCCCAAAAATCACTGGATCTCTCTTCCACACCAGACACCATCAGCTTTCTTTTCCCTACCTGCTATTTTAAATATTATTGACATGTCTAACAACAGTACAACATAAAAGAAGAAAAAAACAACAGAGGAAGTTACTGGGAGACAAATGGAGAAAAGCCTTTTAAAGGGAAGTTTCCATATATATATATATACATATATATATATATACACAAAAGACACAGACTGTTTCCCACCACAGTGGGAATTTTTGTTTCAAAGCTACCCCAGGGACAGCAAAAAAAGGAATTGTGACTAGAGGATCAAAGCAGCACTGAAAATATAACCCTGAAACCAACAAAAAAAACTGATAAAATTTTGCAAAATGGCAATTTTCAAGTTGGGTCTTTAAAGGGTGACGACCAAGAAAACCCAGCAAAGTTTGGATTAATGTAAAATTTCCCTGCAAGTCACTTCTGAGGGAAAGCAGCAACTGCCAACAGGAACTACTAAAAATTTAGAAGAGAAAAAGTCTTTCATTTTGAAAGGTTCTTGTTGCCCAGAGAAGCTGTGGCTGGCCCTTCCCTCTAAGTGTTCCAGGTTGGACAGGGTTTGGAGCAACCTGGGATAGTGGAAGGGGCTGGGATGAAATGGGATTTAAGATTCCTTCCAATCCAAGCCATTCTGGGATTTTATGAAAATCATAAATAAAAAACACCTCCATAATGCAGAAAATTTATACAAAAAAAGGAATTTTAAAATGCCACATTGAGAAAAACAAGGAATAAGTTTGATCAGCAGGTAACACATCCTGGTATTCCTCCTTTCCAGTCAAGTAATTCCTGAGCTGAAGATCAATCACCACTCACTCCATAAAAGCCAAAGGGCATGAAAAGCAAGGACCACCCCCCCCAGCAAACATCCTCTCTGGACATCCCTGGGATTACTCAGAGTTGCTGGGACAGAGGAGTTATGCATTTCCTGTTTATCTTTCCAGCTGGAAGTGGTTTCCAAGTAAGCAGCACGGATTCACCATCCAGAACTGTCCTGCCTGTCCTCCTCCCAACGCTGGATCCGTGTCCATGTACTCATTTATAGCCCTGGAAAGGTTTGCTGTGGCCACAGTTGTTGTGCTTTAACACAGCCTGGCACAGGCAAAGCCACAGGAACAGAATCAAGTCCCTGAGTCCCTTTGCCAGGGGGAGCTTCCCTCCCTCCCTCCCTGCTCTCCTCGACCCTGCACATTCCAGCTGTCTGCAGAAAATCCAGGCTTCAGCTCATCAGGGTCACACAAACAACCCCAGAGAGGGAGGAAGGGGAGGAAAACAGTCCCTGGCTTTCCTGGGCAGGGAGAGGCAGAGCCCAGAGCCCCCCAAATGCCTCCTATGATGGGATTGAGAACAAAAAAACAGGTCAAACTTCAAAAGACTCAAATCCTGGCACACTCCACACCCCCATGAGCTTTCCAGGGGGCTGTAGTGTCAGCTGACAGCTTATGCAAGACTTTATCTGCAAAAAACAAGCCAAAGAAATCCACTGTCTGCTGCTCAGCTCCAAATAAAGATGGGAAACAAGCTCTTTTAGCTGAGAAATTATTTCAGCCCAAACAGCACCCTTCCCTATGCCTGTGCATCACTTGGCATCACTGAACTTCCCCACTCCTCACTGCAAATCCAGGGAGTGCCTTTAAAGGCAGGATTCCCTGGTTTGCAGCAAAAGGAAGGTACATCCATAATAAATTCAATCCCAACTTGGACAGAGTTGTGCTCCTGTACTTCAGACCTGCTTTATCCAGGGGGAGATCAGCTACAGCACATCTTTGCCTAAAACACTTCCCCCCAAAACACCCCATGAGTGAATTACAGATCCCACTGATCACAGCCCCAGAGCAGGAGGAGCTGTGCAGTTGGACTGTTGGTAGAACTAAACCTTCAGAGCTGGCCTCTCCTTCCCTTTCTCGAGCTCAGGGCTGTGAACAGGACTTGTCACAGGATGTCACAACCACAGCCACGGCTCAGAAGAGAAGTGTGAGCCCAGAGCAGGATCCTGAACTCAGCAAGGTCACCAGCTCTGCCTCAGCAAACTGGCTGTGGCTGTGTTATGTCAGAGTCCTGCTCATGCATTTACACTTCACTTGCCACCTACAAACTTCAAACAAGCTTTCTGTTGGTGCTTAAAAGAGATTAAAACTCATCCTCCAAGAGAACTGACCAGAAGGAAAACTTCACACTGGGTAACATCTCCTTAATTCATGAATATTAAAGTCCATCAGGGCTTATGGTTTGATTTTTCCACCACAATTTCAGTGTAATTTCACATCAAGTGACAGACACAAAAGCTGGTTTTATTCTGTACTTACTTGTTGCTTCCACCATCAACAAAAGGATTCCAGTGTGAAGCAAAGTCACTGCCAGCTGCCACAACCTGGAGATGCAGAAATTGTCATTTTTTAACCCCCCTTGTCAAACTGAAGTACCTTATCCATCACAAACAAAAAGGCCTGGGAGGTTCCCCAGCCCTGCAGAACGATCCAGAAGCAGTAAAATCAAATTCCAAAGTGAAACAACATTTTACAATCTCTAAAGCAATTTTTCATCATCTTAGACTTCAAAGCAGCAGCTGGAAATGGTGGAATGTCAGGATCAAGTAACAGGAAAGCAAAAATTTATGGTGAAAACTCAGTAAGGATCACTTAGGGAACCTAAAACAGGGAACTTAGGGAACTTAAAAGACATTTTTCCAGCAAGCTGCTTAAGAGCTGAACCATAAAACAGTGAAGACACTGTGATTTTAATAAATTAAGTTAAAAATAAACTTGTCCTTACCATTTCATCCCGAGCTTCCGTTTCTTTCCGAAGAGGGGGCTCAAATTGCAGCTTATCAACTGCAAAACATCACATTTTCATAATTAATACACACAGCATTGCACCAGGGCTCTTTCAGTGCTTACTACAGTGAAATGCATGTTGTAACAGATCTGAGTATTGTGTACACAACATTTAATTTGCCCGTAAAACATCAGCCTTGTTGTCTGAACGCTTAAATCTGCACACACGAAACCCACAAGAAAGCCCAAAGGTAAATACCAAGTCACTGTATGAAGGCACACTCAAATGTAACTATTTTAACCACGTGCCACTTTTAAATGCATGGGAAAAAGAAAGAAACAGCAAGTCTCCCAGAAGTGTGATGTACGTGATGCAGAGGAGCCACAAAAGACTTTTTTGTCCCAACCTGGAGGAAACCCAATTCTACCCTCAAAATTTCAACTTAAAACTTAAGTGCATTAATATTAATTTGGGGGTTGAAAAGCTATGACTGAAGATTCACAGGCAGGAAGCTGTTTCTCCTGGGTTTGCTTTCCAAATGGGAAGAGGTTTTGCAGAGCGCACAACAAAAGGATGCCGCCGACGTCCTCCAGAAGGATCCCCCCACCAAAACCAGACTTCCCCCCCCAAAAAAAAGGGGCAAAGCCCCCCAGGAACTCACAGTTTATCTCTGAGGCTGTTCTCTCTGCCCTGATGTTCCTGTTGGTGGAGCGGATGGTGTGGCGGATGACGGAGTGAGGCTGGGAATGGGAGAGGGGAGAAGAGCTGGAAACGCTTTGGGATCTCCCACAACAACCAAACACACAAGGAGGAGGAGGAGGAGGAGCAGCTGCTGCGGCCACACGCTGTTCAAGCTGCAATCTCACCTTCCCCAAAGCAAAGCAGGGCATTTCAAGGGGAGTTTTACCTCAAACAGAGGATGTTCTCACCTCAAAATCATCATCGTCGACTTCGCTGTAGTGCGTGTGGTTGTCGGGGTTGTTGACTTTGTCCAGCAGCTCAACTGCCAAAGACCTTGACAGACCAGGCTGCCCCACAAAGCTATGCTGGAACCACAGAAAAGAACAGAAAAGAAGGTTGGAATATGCAATTAACAGGTAACTTTCATTAGCAGACATCAAATGTTACTGATTTTTTTCTGCTTTCTGGAGGCTCAACTGTTATTTTAATAACTCCTTAATGGCTGGACTTTCCGACCCCTCCATAAACACCACACTCTGGGCCACTTGTAAACTGGAAATTAAGCTCTGAGAAGAACAAATAATTACACTTTAACTTCATTTTTTCCTTCAGTTTAGGAAAGCAGAGATCTATGAACAACTAAATTTTTGGGCGACAGGAAGGGCCAACGTCCAAACAGGCACAAGGCTGAGACACCCACTTGAAGCACATTTCTGTACTTGTTCCTCCCAAAAACCCTCTACTGAACAAAATCCTGCCACTCCCTTACAGATGACCAACACCTCCCTCTTTTAGATTTCCCCACCCATGTTTTAAAATTAAAGAAAACGGTTCCAGTTGGGTTTCCTATTGATCTGTTGCTCACTTTGAAGCAAGAGATCTCCTCCTGCTGCCACTAAATGTCACTTACAGAGAGGAGTCTGTCTGCTGTTGGCCTCTTCTTTGGATTTTTTGTAAGTGCTATTTTGACAAAATTATGGAATGTTGCTGACCTGAAAAGAAAAATGAGGAGTTATGTTTAATTTTTCAATATTATTGATTTTAAGACGCTTACTAAACAGATCACAAAAGGGTGTGATAAATTAGAAAGCTGTCCAGGTACTTCATCTCAGGTTTGAATAATTACATTTCCAAATTAACAAATTAGGAAAAAACCCATTTGATTCATGGAGCTTGCATGGAAAACATTTTGGCACGGAAAATAAACCAAGCACAGCACCAGGAATTTATCACAGGCTAAAGAATGGATGAAACCATTCCTATCAGGCAAATGCCCTGATAGGAATTAAGGAGAAAGGATAAAAATGATTTTCCTTCCTAGAACATACAAAGAGCCCCAAAGAAGGGTCCCTCCTTCACTAATGACAAATAGTTTTTTCCCATTATCTTCACAATCATAGAGTCACAGAATGGTTTGGGTTGGGAGGGACCTTAGAGATCATCTTGTTCCAACAAAATACTGAACAAAGGAAAGAATTCCACTTACCATTTTGCTTTTTCCTTTAGCTTTGGCGGCTGAAAATTACTTTTTGACATTAGAAACAGAGCCCTGGAGGTAAAAAAAGAAGGAGGTTATTATATGGTAAAGAAAATAATTAATTTCATCCTAGTATCTAAACACTTTAATATTTTATGGTGAGAAACATACTGGTGAAAATGAATTCTAGTCTACACTGTGTTAAAAGACAGATACAGTGAAGCTGTTGATTTTCTTATCTTTAAATAAAATCTTTTTAGTGCCATAATCCTGCTAAACTTCAGGCTACAGCTTCTCCAGTGGTTTACTATCACTAGTAAATCTGTGCCTGTTCTTAATCAGATTCTTGATCGTGGAATCCCAAAATGTTTTGGGCTGGAAGGGACCTTAAAGCCCATTTCATTCCAACCCCCTGCCATGGGCAGGGACACCTTCCACTATCCCAGGTGACACTAAAATTTTGAGAATAATTTCATTTCAATTATAATTGAAATTATAATTATTTGTTATAATTTCAATTCTAAATGTAAGATGTTTAGCTCCGGACTGATCCCTCAAAACCAGGCAGGGCTCACGCAGGAGGGAGATGAAGGAATCCCAGCATGTTTCCAGCCCTCGAGCTACAGGGAAGGTTAAACTGAATCCCAACAGTTCCTGCTGGGATTGAAGAGGGTCCTGGAGACACAAAAGCCCCCCCTCCAGGTCTCAAACCTCATGGGGTGGAGGTCGAACATGGGTGGCTGGAGCTCTGCCAGCTCGATGGCCGTGATCCCCACGGCCCAGATGTCGCACAGCTGGTTGTACCCCCCGTTCTTCTCCACTGCTGCCACCTCGGGGGCCATCCTGAAAAAACCAAGGGCACCATCACTGCGAGCTCCAGGCCTCCTGAACACAACCCCCCCTCCCAGGAGTAGGTCAGGGAAGAGCCCGATGTCCTGGGAAGCACCAGGCCCTCTGAGCACAACCCCCGTTCCCAAGAGTAAGTGAGGGAAGAGCCCGATGTCCTGGGAAGCACAGAGAGGTTCTGGGAAGCACAGGGACAGTCTTGCCTGAGGCCAACACCAGGAATAGAACCAGGCCCATCATTCCTGGTGAAAAGCTTTAATGACCAGATAATCTTCCTGGCCACTGTCCTCCCTTCTCCAACCACAGCAGAACAATTCAAAGCCACTGTCTGGATGAAGCTGTTTGCAGAACAAGAACACACCCCCAGGCTCCTCCACTGCATCCCAGTGATGGCAAAACCCAGCTAAATTTGCATTTATAACCCAGCCCCAGATTTACAATTATCTGTTTGCATATTAAATGCTGCCTTGTGCAGGCATTAATCAGTAGAGATGATTAAGAGATAGTTCAAAAATCTGTTTTTCTGTCCGCACAGAAATCAGGAAGACACTGATTATTTTACTCATTGGAAGTGTAAATAAGAAAGAGAATAAAATAAGTGAGAAACTAAAGAACCATTAGAAAAAAGGGAGAATATTCTGCATTAATAAACTTGGGAAAAACAGCAATCCTGCCTCAACCATCAGGTAGCAACAGATCAGCTCCAATCAGTGCTTCCCAGATTTTTGCCCTCTGGGCATTTTACTCTGAAGAAAGGGAATTTATGCAATTGCTGGGTATATGTGTGGGTATTTTATAATTTTTGGCATAAATACAAAGTCAGCTTTGCATCACAGCAATCAAAGTGGTGTGTTACCAGTAAGGGGTGCCAATAAAGGATTTCCTCTTCGCAATGGTGGCTGTTATTTTTGCTGCTACCCCAAAGTCAGCTGGAAAATAAAAACCATCAGAGACTTAGAAATCTCAGTTTAAGACCCCAATTCTACTGTATATGAAAGAACAATCGTGTTTCTCATCCAAATTAAAAATTCATTAAGGTAAACAGTTAAAGATTAATAATGAGATCATTAATGTCTTCAATGACATGATCAGTTTTCTTTCTACATACAGCTCACTCGTGACCCTGTTCCTCTCCTAGACCATTTTTCCATCTCATAATATCATCCAAAATTAGTGGATATTCAATTTAAGAGGGAAAATGGCATCATGCTTTGGCAAAGGTACCTTTTCTGTGTTCTTTTGGAGGAACTGTGATGGGCAATCTGTTCTCAGCCCTGGACACTCTGTCTAGGGGCCAATAATACCTTGCCTTCAGAGTTGCAGAACATCAGGAGGTCTTGCAGAGCCAGAGATCATTTAAATCCTTTTTATTTTGATTGATTTGTAGTTTGAAATCCACAGGATAACTGTGGGAATATCTAACCAGCTCAGCAGGCCAAAGGGAGGTGCCAGCGTGCAACCCAACTTTAATTCATGCAGTGAAATCTCCTATCAGTGCCAAGGTTTCATTCCTACTTTTTTCCACCTTTAAAAAGCTGCCTTTTCCCAACACAGCATTCCTGGCTCACCACAGGGGTGTAAAGGTGTTGAGCTAATGCACAACCACCCCAGTTCCAACACGGGACACAGCATCCCATGGCAGTTTTCATGGATACACACTCCCTGTCATCACTTCCTGTCATCATTTATTGCCCCAAATAATCATGGAGTCATTTAGGTTGGAAAAGACCTTTAAACCATCGAGTCCAACCCTCCCCCCAGCACTGCCAAGGCCACCACTGACCCACATCCCCAAGTGCCACATCCACAGGGCTTTGAAATCCATACTAAAAAATTCCAGCCACTCACCTAATTTGACATCCCCATGGTCTGTCAGGAGAATATTTGCACCCTAGAACACAATAAATAGAAAGTTACAGATCTTTTTTGGGGAATATTTGTCCTGCATTAGAAAGTTGTAAGTGTCTCAAAGTCCCAAGTTACCTTTATGTCTCTGTGCATTTTGCCCTTCATATGCAAATAAGCAAGACCCTGGAAATAAAGAGACAAAACAGGTTATTTTGGCATTTGTTAACACACAAAACCAGTCTCATTTAATAAATTTTAATACATATTATATAATATATATAATAATATATATTTAACTATATATAATATATATAAAAATATATTTTATTTGGAAGTGGAGACATTTGAGATTTGCAGATAAGGGGCACTCTGGATTCTGTTTCTCATCTCCAACCAACATGTGAAGTCTCACTTAAACCAGTCATGGTATAATATTTTACACAGATATAGGTTTGGGTCTTTTAAATAAACCTTTACTAAAATTCTATTTTTGAAGTCCTGAAGGTTCCTCGAAGAAACAACCTGCCTGCACCTCCTCACCTTGTCTTCCTGCAGTTACCAGAAGTCACAAAAGACAATTTTATTTATCTGGTTGTAGTATTTTCCCTCCACACATCATTAAATTTACTACCACAGGGCAAGCAGGAAGTTCAAAATTTAAGCAAATATTTGCACTACTTTAATAAGAGTTTCTTGCTAATTTTTATTTACAGGATGAGAAGTAACAGGTTACCCCTGGTTAATTGGTCTCTGCTTGATTCCCAACAGTTCTGGGAACTGAAATAATCTTTATCTACTTTCATGGAATAAACACTTCATCATAAACCTGCACAAGCACAGTACCTGTAAAGTTTCTCTGCACACATATGCAATTTGTAACTCTGACAGAGGTCCTGTCACTGAAAATAAAGACAGAAGTGGGTAAGTTTGCAGCACATGTATTTATATTTAATACACAGCACACAAAGAGCAGCGTGAAGCAGCCAAAAAGTGCCACTGTCCATGCAGAAGTTAAAGCCTGATTTTACAGGATCTGGATTCTACACTGAGCTGAAAAGAGGGGTTTGTTTGCCAGTTTTACAGAAAGGCTTTCTGTAAAAAAAAAAACAACAACCAAACAAACAGCACCATAACAGAAGACAATGCCCACAGTGAGAAGAAAACCTGTTTTCACAGAAATCTAATTATCATTTTACAAGAGACTTCGTAGGACTGGAATATCCTGTGTTCTGAGGAGAGTAAAAATCAAAGTGACTTCTGCTAATATTTTAATGTTAGAAATGGCAATGTTGTGTTTTAGGGACTATCTGTGGGGCTTAGAATTGTTTTAAAACTATTTGTACCAATGTGGTTGAATATCCAATTCTGCTCCCAAATTACAAGTATTAGCCCAAAATGAGTCACCACATCTGAAAAGTGCTCTCAAAATCTCTCAAATGGTAGCTAAAAATCACTATTCATGCCCCCAAAAAAACCCAGTGCAGTGCCTGGCCATTCCCTGTTAGTTTATTATTTAATTTTCTTCTTTGCTTAAAGCTCCCAGAAGTTAAAAATGCTGAAATAAATGCCAAAGTACCGTGGTAAATATCCTGGAGGGATCCCCCACCGCAGTATTCCATGCATATCCACAGCTTCTCACGGCTGTCAAAGGAAAATAAAAACACAGGCATCAAAAGCTGATTGATTCGGATACAGAATAGAGATAATCACCATTATTTAAATTATTTTCTATTGGTCTTGATCACTCTCTGTTAAAAATACACATTCTGAGGCCTGATCAGCAGTTACACTGTTATTAGTATAACTTCTCACTTTATTAATATAAATTACCGTGTTATTAATATAAATTACCATGTTATCAATATAAACTCTCACCTACCAAAATGAAAATTTTATGCCAGAACCCCCGAGAAGTCTTTAAATATTATCAGATCTAAAAGGTGGTGCTTTAACTCTACAATAACACGGAGCAGAAACACCCGAGGTTCACCTGCTACCAGCAGAACTGAAAGGTAACACACTAAAGTGTTTCAGCCTTAAATTGAGATTGCCTAATTATATCTAAAAGAACTCATGCTCTCTGAAAGGAGGGTTTAGAGATTCAGCCATTTTATTCCATTTATTGAGTCCATTTGGGATGTACAGATTATTCAAATGCAGCCCTCCAAGAAATCTAAAGGCTGCAGAAAAAAAAGACCAAAAAGCAGGCAAAGTGCTGATTTATATTCCCACAGAGCCAACTGATAAATGGCAGAATTCCACAGAAATGGAAAATATTCCCTGATTTTCTGTATAACAACGTGCAAGCTTGAGGATGCAGCCAGTTGGCACCACCTTGGTTCTGCCTCTGTTACACCAGAACTATGAAAAACGTTATTACCAGCACCTCAAATTGAGTGTTTTGCTCTTAAAAATCCCTGGCTGGGCTTTCATAGCCCAGAAAACTGTAATTAAATAAAATATCCAGAAGCAATTCTGCTCTAGAGAAATATATTGCATGGTTTTATGTTAGAACTGATAAATGTATGGGTAGGGTTGGACGTTGCAAGAGGCTCCAAGGGAAAAGTTTCTCGCTGTTTCCTAAGTGATAAAAATATTCCAACCTTTTGGCCAGCAGAGAAAACAAACTATTAGTCACTTTTGGTTTTTAAAGCCAACTTTAAAAAAAGCCCAAAGGGAATTCAATCTATGGAAGAACATTGAGAGAGGGGGCAAGGATTAAAACCACACTGAGAGTTGTTTAGGGGAGAACCAGGAGAAATGTTGGAATAAAAAGCAGGATTTACCTGAGATAGCTCCCGAAATAGGCGACTATGTTGCAATGTTTGCATTCCTTGACCATATATATTTCTTGCTGTATCAGTGAAAAGTCATCCCCTGAAAAACAGGAAGCAGCCAGGGTTACATCACGCGGGGCTGAACGTTCGGAGAGGTCTGGAGGGATGCACGCAACCCAGGAAAAACAGGGACTGGGCTGGATCGTGGCTAAGCCCTTCTGAGCACGTCAGCCTTTCATCCACCACCCTCTCAGCCTGAATCCTTTATTCCATCCTTTTATGAGGCACAAATATTTCCTGAAGATCAACAGAGAAGGGCTGGCCTGGTGGCCTGAACACGATCCATCAGTTCAGACACGGAGAGCGTTGGGAAAGAAGGAAAGGGATCCCATGGAGGGATGGGAGCACATGAGGAACCTTGGAGCAGCCCCTGTGGAGCCACCAGAGAGTCCCAGCTGGAGCTGACCCAGCTTTACCAGGCCACAGTGCTCACAGCACAAGGGTCCCAACAACAAGAGGAAGGATTGCTGGAACTAATTCCAGAGCCTCCTGCCTGGAACCAGGAGAGCTCACATTCCACAGGCTTGTTATTAAAAAGTGTTTAATTCCCAAACCACTGGGATGGAGCAGATGGCCTGGACACCCACTCAGCTGACTCAGAGCAGGAGCACAGTCTCCCCAGCACGGACTGTGCCTGGTTGTGAGCGTGGTTTGGGATGAGGACACCTACACCAGCACGCTGGTACATCCTAAATATCCTCTGGGGGGGGAAAAAATCTACTGAAAAGGAAGTAATAATGTTTTAGGTGCAATTTATAGTTATAACAATATGTTTATATAGATATTAAATGGATAGCAGGGGATGTTCTCACAGAATCTACAGCTCAAACCCCACAGCTCTGCCTCCATATTTTGTACGTTATTACCTTTATTCTTCCTTTGGACAAAGGGGAATGGCTTTAAGCTGAAGGAGGGGAGATTTAGGTGGGATATTGGGAAGGAATTCTTGGCTGGGAGGGTGGGGAGGCCCTGGCACAGGTTGCCCAGAGAAGCTGTGGCTGCCCCTGGATCCCTGGAAGTGTCCAAGGCCAGGCTGGATGGGGCTTGGAGCAACCTGGGCTAGTGGAAGGTGTCCCTGCCCTGGCAGGGGGTGGGACTGGCTGAGCTTTAAGGTCTCTTCCAACCCAAACCATTCCCTGAAAACTGTAACAGCTTGCAAGACACAAAAGACTAGAATTTAACTAAAGATTTTACGTTTTAGATAAAATTCTGCTCCGGACGATGTGGGAGCTGCCATGAAGGAGGAAATTGCTTTAGGTATTTTACTTCTGTTTAAAGTTTCCCAAGGAAAATTCTCTCACACTATTAAAGTCAGGGATGTCCAACCCAGAAAACATGAACTGCTTTGTCCTGTTCCCTTTAATTTAGATGGTTTTGACAAGTCCAAGAGGACTCAAGCACTGCTGTAAACTGAATTCTTCTTGTGTTTATTTAAGTAACAGCATAGCTAATATTTTTTAATAACCTCTTTTAAAATAGATGTTTATATTTGCTGTGCTTTGAAGCAGCTTCCCTGAGCAATGGTGCTGCTGGTAAAAGAAGTGCCAATAACAGAAATGATCAAAACCTTTATGTCTCAGTGATTGCCAGACTTTTATTTAAGAAAACAACCACGAAATATGAAGGTAGAAGGGAACACACTTCCATGAATCCATCCCTGACCCATTTCAGTAAATCCTCAAGGGCTTCTTGAAGTTGAATTATGTGGAGAAACACTTCACTGGGGCAGGAAAACATTAGCAGAAGAGTTTCAAATGTCAAGAGGCTTTTTATAAACATCAGTAGTATTTTTTTAAATAATGAAAAAGAGAAAAGGCAACAGAACTTCTATAAATTTAGCACAGGTTTCACACTGTGCTTGGTTTAGGGGTTACCTTGCAGCTACAACTTTTCCTGAATTCACAAGTTCTGCTTATAAATTATCACTATGAACAAGGGATTTTTTGAGTTTAGAGAATCATGGAATGGTTTGGGTTGGAAAGGACCTTAAAACTCATCCAGTTCCAACCCCCTACCACGGGCAGGGACACCTTCCACTAGTCCAGGTTGCTCCAAGCCCTGTCCAACCTGGCCTTGGACACTCCCAGGGATCCAGGGGCAGCCACAGCTTCTCTGGGCAACCTGTGCCAGGGCCTCACCACCCTCCCAGGGAAGAATTCCTTCCCAATATCCAATTCCCTCTTGTCCTCTCACTACCTGCCTGTAAAAAAAGTCCCTCTCCCTCCTTTTCATAAACCCCTTTGAGTTTAAATCTGATGGATTCATTCCTCCCATTTCTCCAACAAACTGTTGGAATTCTCACAGGTAACAACTGGGGCATTTTCAAACCACACAAGTATTTTCAAGAAAGTCAAATCGAAGCAGTTTTGAAGGCAAATCCTCTCATCCCACACAGAAAAAAGGTTCTGTCTCTCTTCAACTAACTGTCCATGGGTTCAGAGGATCCAATCCCAAATCCCCATGGCCTCTTCAAATCACAGAATCCTTTGGAAACATCAGAATCCTGGCACATGTGAAAACAAAAAAGCATCCCCGTAACAGCAAAACCTTGCAGGCAGCAGCTGGAATTGCCCATGGATAGCACATGGATCGGGCTTCTGAGTGTGGAGCAACAGCCAAGCCAGTTCTAGAAACCATGACTAATGAGGAGAAATTGAAGGAAACACAGGGATTTGGGCAAGAAAAAGGCTGAGAGTGAAAAGATAACAACCTTCAGGCACACAAAAGGCAGCAGGGAAAGGGGGAGAAGGGATAATCTGTGTCCAGTTTTATAACAGGACACTTAGCAGAGGGCTTAAATTGCCTTAACCTACATTCTCTGTACAGATGAAAAGCTCTTCCTACTGGAATAATATTGCAGCACTGAATGTGAAGGGGTGGGAAGCTGTGAAAATTCTCACAGGTGAAAAAAAAAAATGAAGAAAACACTGAACAAGAACCGACCAGGATTGACTTGGAATGATCCTGCCTGTAGTGGAGGGAGACAGAAAAGATGATCCCTTGATTTGCAATTAATAAATAAAGAATTCATGCAAGAAATGAGGGTTAACCTACAGAAAAAGGGGGGGAAATAGAATTTGGAAGAGGAAAGTGCTGAATACAAACAGGGGGCTGACAGAGAAGTGGTAAAGAGATGGAAAGAAGAGAACTATCTGTGAGAAAAGTTTGGCTAAAATATGTAGGAAATGACTGTGAAAGATCAGACACAGAGATAGGAGAGAAGATGTATAGTCACTCAAAGGGGACAAGAATGAATACAAAACAAAGGAATTCAGAGTTTCCAGGCAGCTGGAGTATTAATCTTGGCAAGAGACGCTGGAATAGGGTAAAAATGAAATATCCTTGGATAGCAGGGAAAAAACCCAGACAGAACTGGTAGAAAATCCTTCATTGAGAGGGAGACAGCGAGATAAAAAGAATTAGACCAAAGGTGACAAAACATCCACACAAAGAGCTTTTCATCTGGTTTAGTCATCAATGGCTTGATGCTAAACAGCACGGAATTGGGAAAACGCCGTTTTTGCTGCTCACGTGTTTGCCACTATGGGATGTGCGGCACGCTGAGCAGGACCGTGGAGCAGGGAGCTGCTCGAGGCCCAGGAGCAGCAGTGACTCACTGCAGCCTCTGTTATTATGTAATTTTACCTCTGCAGAGACACAAGGACACAACTCGGCCGCACAATGGAATATTCTCCCCGGATCGCGGCCGCTCCGCTCGGCACAACCAGCCGCTTGTTCTCCAGCACAGCTGGCAGGGAGGACCCTGCTGAAGCCCACTGTGGGGTGTGAGCAGAGCCCTTCCCACAAGCTAAGCAAGGTAAGGCCTGGGAAATTCAGGATGAATCCGTATTTAAACAGGAGAACACGGAGAAAACTGATGGCACGTCGACAGCAGGGAATTGTTCCACTTGCAGACACGACGTCTCACCTGTGGGAGAGGCTGGGAGAGCTGGGGGGGTTCACCTGGAGAAGAGAAGGCTCCAGGCAGACCTGAGAGCCCCTTCCAGGGCCTAAAGGGGCTCCAGGAGAGCTGGAAAGGGACGTTGGACAAGGGCCTGGAGGGACAGAACAAGGGGGAATGGCTTCCCGCTGCCAGAGAGGAGGTTTAGGTTAGATATGATGAAGGAGAAGATGAAGGAGAGTAGACTTAGATTGGATATTAGGAAGAAATTCTTGGCTGGGAGGGTGGGCAGGCCCTGGCACAGGTTGCCCGGAGAAGCTGTGGCTGCCCCTGGATCCCTGGAAGTGTCCAAGGCCAGGTTGGACGGGGCTTGGAGCAACCTGGGCTAGTGGAAGGTGTCCCTGCCCATGGCAGGGGGTGGGACTGGATGGGCTTTAAGGTCCCTTCCAACCCAAACCATCCTGGGATTCTATGATTCTATGTGGAATTGGAATGTAGATATCCTGCCAAGATTTCCTAGATGGAGAGCACATGTCATTCTTGAGCTGGCACTTGGAATTTTTAATTCTTGGCACTTGGGATTTTTAACACTATAATTAACAGCTGTTATTTAAAAGTGGCATAACTTTTAACAACAGGACCAGGTGGGCACTGCTGTGCAGGACACTGAAGGACACAGAGCAGGGTCACAGCACCACAGCCTCTGCTGGGACCATTCCTCCAACAGTTCTTACTTCAACAACCTGAGTTCCCAAACAAGGGGGAGGAAAACCCATGGGAATGACAACTATTCGTCCCACTCCACACACTCCCCAGCCAGGCAACACCCTCAGGCCACCAGCTCCTCTGTGCTGACTTCCACACATCCCCATGCTCACCAGTTCCCAATCACTCCCTCCAACCCCCCCCTGAACCTCGAGAGGGTTCAGGCTCTGCTGATGAAAAGGATGCCTTTCCCAAAATGCAGGATCCGAGCTGCTTTATCCACACTGCTTTTCACAGGACTCATGGAAACCTGCAGTCCCACAGAAAGAATTTCAATTCCCCAAACTTGAAACTCAGAAACTCGATTCCAAGCAGGAAACAGCTATTTGGAAACAGTGATGTTTCCACCAGCAAATTTTCCTGCTAGGCAAGTA